CCTGTCACCTTAATGTCACAACTGTGTTTACTGGGGAATACATAAATAGATAAACTTAGCCGCGTTAACATGGCTAAACTCCAATTATACTAAAATATATAACATTTATAATACATAACACAGATTATTTCCGATCGGTGTACGTATAAACCTAAAGAAAACGGTACAAGTCTTTGACAAATCCTGTACATTTATATTTAAAACATTTGTTATTATTATTTAACGGCGTAAAAATAATAATAATTAAATGAACTATGTTTTTGAACTGGATTTGAACATTACTTAATGATTTCTATATCTATATAAATTTTCTGCATATTGTTTTATTGTTTTTCTTATTATATACTATATATTATAACTCATACCTAAAAAATTGGTAACAAATTTAATCCTGATCTATATGCTCATTCTCGTTGGTTGGTTAAAGTCCTTTACTCTACGATGCACTATACTAACCGTGATACGTCCTAAAAACAATAAAATTGGATAGTTTAAAAATTAATATTTTATAAATTGCCTTAGCGAGTAAACTAATTTTCTTTAATTAGGCACCCTGTCACTTTTATCGAAAGTTGAATTACTTTTATCGTAAAATATTCAGAATTACCAATTAAAGGAAAAATGATAAAAGAGGAAGAGTAAAGTTGAACACAAAATTATGTAGACAATTTATATGCATGATTCGAACATGGAAATTTTAGATATTCGTACTTGGTTGCAAAAAAAAAGTAATTATATTCTGATGGAGAAATTTAAATTTATGGAAATTACTAACTACTACTAATCTTGTAGTGTATCAACATACACTACAAGATTAATTAACCTGTAGAAGATTATTGGACTAACTGAATTCGTAATATATTGTAGATTCTGTATACATTTTATTTTATTAAAAGATTATCTCCACCACTTAACATTATTTTTGTGGTTTCAGATTACACATAATTTTAATGTAAACTGTAAAAATATAGTTTTCATTAACAGACGTTTGTTATAATTGATTGTTTGAACAAATTCCTAAGAAAACGTATTAATTCTCGTTCAAATGAAGCGTTTCGTGCCACCCAGCATGCATAACCGCTCTAGCTATTTCTTTCTTATGTTGATTACACTCACTCGCGTATGGAAAGGTGTACAAGGCTCCATCCACTCCTTTATTAGATCAATGAATATACGTTTTGAGTGAGAGAGTCACCCATCTATTTCTATCTCATCTATGCAAGGCAGAGGGTCCGGCGGAACGTACGGGAACTACCTTGGTCGAGTCATTGATTAAATATCGAGTTTTTTTACACTACTTAATAAATTGTTTCTTTAAGAAAAGACTATAGCAGATTCTGTATATATTTTTAACTGACAACCGTTTTTATTTGGAGTTGGTGGTCCTGCATTTGCTTGTTGAAATATGACCGCACATAAAAATAAAATTTGTAAGTATTCAGAACAGTTAATCTCATATTGTTGCACTTTTATTTTTCTGGACACTAAATTATAAGGTAAAGACACCAGTGATTGACACTATTAGACCAATATAAACAAAAAAAAAGTCGAAATTGGAGATTTACGGTCAAGTAACTTGGAAAATTATTTTAGAGATTCAATGATTCTTTCTCTTCATTCCTATAGTAACAAATGAGGATTTGTTTGTGTAGTTTTGAAATTTTGAATTTTTTAAACAACTGTTCCAAATCCCCAGTAATCGACGCAGGAATTTTTTGATTTTCCAGTAATCGACACCAGTAATTAACATGACTGAAGAGATTTGTCTCGAATAAAAGTAGACAGAATGATAAAAAAAATAAAGTTTATTTGTCATATAAGAACATAACGTAAAATTATATCAATGAACAAAAAAAAATATATTCTATAAAATTAACAGCTTAACAATCAGTCTCCATTAGGTTTTAATCAGTCTTAATATTTTTGTTAATCAATTCAAACCGAAAAATCTCTATATTTTGCCATTTCCGGCACAGAATATATCCCACGTGAATTTTTTTTCTTTGGTGCTTGTATTATTTCTATTATTTCTTCTTCTGAATAATGGATTTCGTCCTTTTGTTCTGGCCATTTCCAGTCACATAAACCACTTTTTGTCATGGTAGATATAAAATATCCGTCTGTGTCCAGTTTTGTCACTCGACCAGGAAAATAGCGCTGTTCATATTCTACAATTACATATGAATTCTAATATGGTTGCTTAAGTGGTGTTGATTTTACTTCAACTTTGTAATACCCAAAGTCTTCATCGCTATTTTCTTGTTCTAAATCAATGTCATCTAGGCTGTCACCACTTTCCACCCATTGTTCCTCAGATTCAGAATCGCTCGTCAGTAACACCTTCTGTTTAGCTTTTATCTTTTTCTTGTCTTTTTCAAGTTTTTTGGCTTGTCGTTCTTGACTTTTCTTTTCCTTCACTTCCACTTTTCTTTTTTTTTTTTCTTCTTTTTGGATGATATGTTGAACACTGTCAAGTAATTCATCTTTCTTTATTGAGTAGTGCATATCAGACAAAGAGATTATCCACTATTCTAAAATTTTTTCTTCATGTTGTGTTAGCACTGCGTTTGGCCCCATCTTGGTCTCGAGCGAGCTTCTGCCACTTATTTTATCCAAAAGTGTTGTTCTTGGGACAGAAAAAGCCTTTGTTGCTGTAGCTATCGCCATTCCACGCCCAACAGCATCAATGGCTTTAGACATTTGTTCTTTTGTATAATTTCTTCTAGGAGCCATTTCTCTGAAATTAACGAACCAGTATCAGACATTTGTTGCCCCATTTACTGACACATGTATGTCGAACACTGGAGTAAATCATGATACAGAGGTCTGGTGTTGAACGCGATATTTTAAATTTTGCGCGCAATTTGTTAGTGTTGCCAACATGGAAAAATCGTTTTCCCTATAATCGACACCACTGCCGGTCAGTGGTTCCCCAATGATTTTTTGTATCCAATAATCGACACCCCCCCCCCCACTATAGGTTAGAAAATGTACAAAATCTGAGTTACATTGACTGATCGCTTTAATAATGCGTATTCTGATATTTGGACATTGATATATCGGCCAAAAACGATTAACAAGGACATTAGGTGCAATAATGTGTACCACTTACCTTACGGTTCTGCTTTACAAAAACGGCACTGAAACACATGCGTTGATCTTCTGGACATCAACGCCTTTTTTTTTTTAACTAAAAGTTTAGTAAAGTTTCTGTCTCCTTCTCCATTGTTGCCAATATAAATATGGAGCAATTAACTTTTGATTCTAATTCATTTGAACGTAAAATGAGCTTAATATTAACTGGTGCACTGTCGATCACTGGTGCCTTTACCTTACTTGTTTCACAAATTCGATAAGTAATTCGACGAGGGAAATGTAAATAAAAAAAAATCGGTTACTGCTAGGATTTTTGATAAGATTATTTTTGTTGATTCTGTTAATTAAATAGTTGCATAATCCATTGGTCTTTATTAATTTGTGTACAGAAAGAAGCATAATAAAAGTAAAAAGTCTGAGTGAAGATGCCTCTAGCTTCGGCTAGATCACTCACCTTCATTGATCTATCGGCAAAAAACCTTTTATCTACTTTGTCAACGATTTCTGGCATGACGACAGTTTTAGTCCTCTACAGTGTGGTGCAACTTCAACAGATTATAGTAGTCCCAGAGTAACTTCGTTTTTGGCACTGCATCCTATGGTGGAGGAATTAAGTTTCTCGAGAATAGGCCAATTATTGTCCACGCGCCTACCAAAAAATATTAACAAGGATGTACAAGAAGCGACACTTTTGTCAGTGCCTTTGATGATTTGCTGGTCAATTTTTGACCTTCAGCCATTTTATTGAGGTGTTTTAAAGTGGGAATTTTGAAAGTTAGTTGTTATCAAAAAAATGAATCTTGCCATTGCGATATAAATAATTTGTCTGATGACAAAAAATATAACATTTAACAATTATACTTATTTTTTTATAAATAAAATGTGCAAAATGGTTTTCTCTGTCAAACATAAAACATTCATGATTGAGCCCTACTTCCGAAATGGAGTTGCCATTGAAAGCGAATGATATTATAACAGTGGTGCTGTTTTACAAGAATTCCAAAAAAAATTTCTAGACTTTAATTTTATCGTTGTTGACTTTTACAACGTTGTTGGAAACACTGTGCGAGTATTTCGGGAAACAGGTAGTCTTCACCACAAAAAAGGTGCTGGACGACCAACATTGTGTACCAATGAAGTGATAGAAGATGTAGAAGAACGCATGGAAAATAATCTATCAACTTCATCGAGGCATCTGTAGCAAGAAGTTCGAGTTTCCGTGGGTGCACGCCATTGAATTGTGAAAAAAAAGCTCGATTTTTCCCGTACAAACTTCATGCCGGCTGATTTTAATAGACGTATTGCCTACTGCAGATGGTTTCTTGAACATCTCAATGATGATAACGTGATGCATTCTTTTTTGATGAAGCACTAGTTTTTCTAATTTTCAAAAAACAAAGCTAGCCTTCGTTGGTAAATTGATTTAAGTCAGTATGTAACCAACATTACACATGTGTTTGTTTAATTGCATAATCTGAAAAATAACTAAAACCGAGAAAACGTACAACTTTCAAAATAGCACAGCATTCTTTGATCTAAATAATAATTAATGAACACAATATACAAAAAATGTTAGTGAAAGGAGTTGCTCTTATCGTCTACATATTATTTCAGTTTTTAAGGATAATGTTATAAATAATTAGTGAGTTTAACACTAATTTAAAGTTAAGAAACTCACATTTAGAAGGAAATTTTCATAGGTTAACAAAAATTACATTTTAAATCAGGAATAAATGCTAAATGACAACACAGGTATACAAGGAATTGTATAGAATCATGTACCAACTTTTTCAAGAACTCAACCGCCACAAATCCTCCCATATAATTTGTTATACTTGCATTTTGTGTTTTTTTTTAGTATTCTGCTACCTTAAGGTGAAACAGGCAGTAGGTAAAAAACCAAATGTTATATAAATACCGAGTGACTATTAATGTTTGCGATGTTGGCGACATATTTAAAATTTTATCATGGCATACCTGATCGTGAACTGGAAATTTCAGGCACCAAATCAGTAGTTGCCATCTTCTCTGCCGTGATAACATTGGTGGCAATGATTCAGAATCGGCAACACAAAAATTTGCTTCAATCATTAGTAGTCACTTATAGGTACTGTTGGCTGTAAAGCTTTATTTTTGTCAATAACACAATTAAGACTCGACGAATTTGGTGTTTCTTCATCAATGTTTGATCCATCTTGAGGTTGCGACTTACTATTAGATTTGGAAGATTGATTACACCGACATTCTGTTAGAATTTCAAACCGGTACAGTCGTACATGAACAATAAAAGTATTATGGTTGGTATTGTTGATGCTATTGTGTGGTTGGAGGTAGCAACTGAAATAAGAAAAGTTAGTCCTTAGTTACATATATTACAACCACAAGAATATTTCAGATAATTTGTTATAGCTTTTGCTGCCGAAAATTGGCACACAATTTTATTTACATGCATTTATTTTACTGTGGAGGCGAATGATTTTATATAATAAAAATACAAAAATAGGTGATAACGGACAATCGACTGCTTGAACTAAAAGTATTGTCGAAAAAATAAATAACATTTCCAGAATCCAAGTTGCTACATTCCATTCAATAAACGCCGTTTTTCCCACCCCGAATTATTGAGTAAAATATATTCAAGTACTTATTATTGAGTTAAATATGTGATGAATCTACTAAATATTCTCTCTAAAGCAAAAGAGTCGTAGCAGTCCTTTCCCAACTCGACATACAACAAGAATAAAGCATATTACTCATCATTCTGTTAAAAAACTGCCTATTAATTTAGGAATGTTATTATATTAGAGTAACAAAAACCTACCTGCATTATTTACTAGTGTTGCTGTTAAGTGCAATCTCCAGTATCCCTTTTCGGTTGGGTTATTCTGGATTCGACTAAACATGACCTGATTGGAAATTTTAGGATTTATTTTTATTTTATGTCTTCCCCACCGTTCATTACTTTCGTCGTTAGATGAAAATATAAAACAATTATGATCATTATACGTTACAACCAGAACACAACTTCTGCACAAAGAAACAGAAAGAATTAAATCGACCTCTTCGGAACCTGGAATTTTCAATATATTTGTATATTCTTTGGTGATATCACTGGCTTCTTTAAACTCATCTAAAAATAAAAATAATCCATTTACTAAGAACAAATTACATTAGTCGTCTACTCGCATCCAGATTTTCTTTAAATATTTTTTTATTAATTTTTGTACTGAATTTATAACATACATAAAACAAATAATCAGTTTTAATTATTTATCTTTGTTATACGAAAGATCTCATTTAATTAAAGAATGACAATTATGTTAGTTATACCAATATACAATCTACTGCACTAGTATACTTACAATCGTAGATTTTAAAATTAGCTGTTAAAGTTTGTATATATAATGTTGTCGGAACCAGTAAGACGTGTCGTATATTTGTATAATTTTCATAATATAACAACTTTCCATCGTTTACACAAAGTGTAAACGTGGTCCAAATTTCTGTGTCGTTTATTTTATGCTGATATCTATCGTGAGCTGATCCTTCGGACGCAAAAAATGTAATCTCGCTTGTTTCATTTACCGAAAAACTGTAGGAAGACAATAAGTTCACCGAAAATGCGTCCCGTTTCTTTATATTCCAGCCTGAAAAAGTCAACAGACATAACTATAAAACGAATTCAGCGATGGTTATTTAAGCATTAATAGCGTTTTACCAATCGAGAAAATGCTTTTATTTGAGCCCTACTTGTTTTTGCCTATTTGCTTGTGTTTGATTATGAGTGTCTTTTTTGGAAAGTACTGGACCGATTGTTGTGAAATTCTGTATTTATATTAGCAATATCATGTAGACGCTAACCAGAATTTGTCTGATCATCCCCACCAATAATGTGATGACGTCACTTCAAAATTGTACATAGTAAATGGGTTGTAAATTGTATAAAATAGCACACTCCTGCACATGTAGTGACTCCGAATTGAGTTTCTACCCGAAACGTCCAGATCTTAGGAAAAAAAATCTAAATTATGAAACAACATTTTGCAATTTAATTTTGAATCTGCAAAACCTAATGCTTTGAAATCTTGCAGATGGTTTACAGTTATGATAAGCATGATAAATTTTTGATCAAAATATATTTACTTATCTCCTCCAAAAAATTGATGACGTCAGCTCAAAATTTTACTGAATAAATCCTATCCAAAATGTACAAAATATAATGAGTCTGTACTTGTGACTTATTATGTCATTCATATTTTTGGATCTGCATATACATGGTGACTAAAAAAAATTAATGAATCCGTGAATTTATTTTATTAATTTAATCAGGAACTACAAAACCAAATGCTTTGAAATCTTGGAAATATTTTAAAGTTATAGTGAAGAAGAAAAGAAAAACTGTTTCTATGAATTATTAAGTGCATTTGCTATAGCAAATACACTGTTAAAGAAACTTAAACGAAAGGTTGCGTTCATTTTTGAAGAGAAACTGCAAAAATAATATTTTTGAGGAATCAACTTTAAGAAAGAATTACTTGTCCCATGTTTACGATGACATAAGTATTGTGTGAAAGCATAGAAACTTAAGATTGGGAACATCCCAATTTTTGCTACTTTATTTATTTAATTTGTTTACATTGTAGGTAATTATTGATTAATAAAGTTAGAACAGATATTAGGGTTCACGATATTTGGATAGCAGATGAAATTACAAATTCTAATGGGCAATACGTTGCAAACATTATGATGGGAAAATTGTCTGTAGCGGCAGCTGTTACACCACACTTACTGGCATTAAAAATGTTGGACAAAACTATGAGACCGATGTTCTAGTATTTTAGAAGCTATGAAATCTCGAAAAAATGTGAAATTAATCAATGCCACAATTACTGGTATTTTTAGTTCAGAAATACATACCACTAAAATGTTCTTCAAAATTAGGTCTAGTAATCAAGTTGCTTGATTCTTTTATCACCCAGTCATCATTCTCCCAACGATCACTACTTAGTAAATCTTTTGAATATTTCGGTTGTCCTGCAGAGAATAAACTATCAAATTCCTTATCTTTTTCTACCACACAAATGTTCTCCTTGTTTGGATCTTGTAATGTTGTATTTTCTTGCTGAAGATCGACTGCACATAAAAGTAATATTAGAAGTGAGTAAATATTTAAATTTAAAACAGGTATCATATTATTGCACTTTTATAAAATGTGCACTAAATTATTGCACCAGTTTCATAGTACCCGAATTCATTACAAACTTCACAAATTGTGCTTTAATTATTGTTATCAAACAGTACTACTTATAGATAAGATTAAAACATTGCTTCACTATTGTTTTATTTTAAAATTTTTGATAATAAAGCGAAGTAGGATTAACTGCAATTTAAGTAGCACACACTTTATCTACTTATTTATGAGAACTTCGTACCGATCCCAATACATAATTACAATTATTTGAATTAAAGGTGGTTCGATTTTCTAGTAGAAAATGAAACATCTAAGCCATTCGTGATTTAACTACGGTCTGAAACTGTTTGTATTGATATCCGAAAAGAAAAGTTTTGGTGTTTAACCTTATCATAAAAAGACACAAATTCTTCGAAATTACTGGACTGATTACTGCCATTTCAAAGTTTTGCTAGCTGCAATTTTAATATTAATCCGAAATAAAAATAATTAGACAAATAATACTATTTGTAAAAACGGGTTGCATTCTTAAGATAAGTAATCATAATCAGTATCAGATAAGAGAAGTAGTGGATAATTCACTATTTTCATTCCATTAATTGAAGTTGGTAATTTGTGAAAATGCGGAGTTCTCTTTCGTGTTTCTTGTTTGTCATATCTATCTCTTTTGTCTCGTGTTCCTTAGCACTTTTCGAGTTGAGTACGAAAGTAACGAATCTACTTTCAGAAACTATTGACACTGATAACAGTACACAAAAATTGGTACTATTAAGACTAGATGGCATAACTGTTGAAATTAATGACATAATTGGACAAATTGGACGAATGGGTAAGCAGTCATTTGTTTTCTCATATTTTACTTTAATTCATTTTTAGAAAAATATCGAAAATGGAATATTATTAGCAGAATGTTAAGAAATTTACCGGTGATAAATGACCGCAAATCAACGTTACAAGACATTCGTGTGTCACAGATTTATCTAAATAATTATTACAGAACTATGGAAAAATATGTACGGGATGCTGATGAATACAATTCTACAGCAGTATTAGATTTTGCTAATAAAGTATTATCCGATTCTGAAAATTCTGTTTCTTCTTTAGTTGACTTGCTGTATCAAAAAGTGCTAGATGAAGGTTTTGTAGAAAATTTGGTGAACGAGATACAAGTAAGATTTACAAATTAAGAAAACTCTTTAATAAAGTGTATCTAATTTAAAGCCCAACGACAACTATTACTGCAGGGAAAGACAATCCACCGCTGAGATATTACACACATTTATGAATGAAGTTCAAACAATGAATATAAAAAGTTTTATTACAGTGCATGCAGCATACAAGATCAAAGAAATATATTCAAACACAAGAGGTAAATTCATATTTCCTGTTCAAAATCACAATTACTCTTTCTGATATGGTTTTAAGAGAGTTTCAAGAAAGAAATAGTAAATGGTAATAAAAATTTCCAGACTAGGACTAGTAAACTATTGTCCGCTCTGAAACCCTACATAGGAAGAGCCTCTTTAGAATTACGAAGATGCGATCCCCAACCTTACATATACGGTAATTTTTTACACTTGTTTTTCTGTACCCAAAAAGTTAAAGTTTGTGGACTATTATATTTACCTAGTTACGATCAAAAACTGATTCATTTTTTCATAATTTGCTTCAGGCGAAACTTACGTGGAAATTAGAAATTTTTTTCATGGAATTATAATAAATAAAGTGAACTTGGACCCTAATGGCAGCTGTAAAAAAGAATGCAACTTTTATTCTTATACAAAACATTATAACTGTGGCAGTAATGAGTGGTGTAGAAAAGAAACAACATGTTCCAAAGTGATCGATTGCCAGTACGTAGATTCATCGATGGAAGTGTGTCCCTCTGTATTAACTGGTATTTATTTGCATAATATTCTTATAAACAACTACAGCTCTAGAAAATGCACACAACCAACAGAAGATACGAATACGTCAAACTAGGAAATGGAAGGGTTTTGGGGAAAGAGAAGCCTTGCAGCACTCATGTAACTTCTCTTGAAACTTATAGAAATTCGGTTTTTTGGAAATGCTCCTATTGTTTCTGTTTATGTGATGAAGGACGAAAATTTTATACACAAAACCACATAAATATGCGACCAGTCGAGTCGCACATTCATCGCAATATGTATGGTAATTATGTAATATTAGTCGCAATTTATAAATATGGTTTTCATGTTTTTAGGGTTGTAACTGGTTTGCGTTTGGTTGAGCACAACCGCATTATTCATTTACAAATACAAGAAGGTAAACTTGTTTCGAATGGTCAGATTGACCCTAAAATTGTCCAGTGGCTGCCACCTGAGGACTACGAAATCACCCAAAGTACGTACGCCAATGGTGAGGATTATCACACACTTTCATGGGAAAAGAGAGATTTGCAGCTGGTTGATGTAATGGCTGAAGAAGGAAATGTTGTGACTGGTGTTGGGTTCAAACTTGTTGGAAACAATTTACGTCTGCGAATTTTTACAAGCCCTTTTAATTTTACTACTGGTGAACTTACCAAAACATTTAAAGAAGTTCTAGAAAATTCAACGAAGTATTTATATACAAGAACCTTTTCAACTGCGATCTACTCTTTTTTTTTCTAGAATTGGCTCTCAACTGAATATGAATGCAGTCGATATTCCTACTCGTTCAAATTGGCCTTTAAATCAGTTTACAACGAATAAATTTGTCAAGTTTACGAACTCAGATTATGAGAAAGATGCTGGTCAATCAACGGTACCATTTATTGATGCTCAACCTGTAGAATCAGCAAACCCGGTGCCGCTCTCAGGAGTTGGCATTTTTCATAAGGGAAGACCTAAGTTTGGTGGGTTTATCGCCCCTAGAATTTTTACCTACAACTTTACGAAGCATTTAGAACCTGGTTTTTCGCAGCTTAAAACAAACGATTAGTTCATTTCAGATCATCCTCAACCCAGGCTGAAATTTTCAAGTTATTTAATCGTTTTTGTAAATTTTAGTATCTATGTGGCGATCATTTTTAAAGCAGCTTATTTCGAGTGTATGTATACGTTAGATTACAATTGCTCTGTAAATACTTGACAAGATTAAAAAACTTAGATTGCAACCAGTAACTTGTCTTATCGGTGTTACGTATATTATTGATTTTAAAGATTCAGACTCAACGGCGCTATATGTGAACTAAAATGTGCTTTACTGTTTGAAGTTTCGGCTGTAATTCACCCCACACGATTGGAAACTGCGTAGGCAGCGAAAACTTCGTATAATTGTACTCTTATCACTGTGAAAAACAATAGGCATTAATTTAACAGGTAGGTTTATTAATATTTTTTACAAAATGACGTTAAATTTAATTACTAAAATTATATTCAAATCGGGAATATGCCTGCCGTTTCAACAAATACGAAACCTACTACGTACGTTTAGGTAACAACTTTTTCATTTCTTTCCCTGTGCCAGCATTTTTTAACCTTCTTGCATGTGTCCTCATTTTTTACTTTACCTTCCCTATGCAACTGTTGTGTAAAATGGCTCAAATAAAAATAACGTGAAGAAAACGTAACATTAACCATTTGCAAAATGAATCCTATTTTTATCACTGGCGGCTCGTCACCTTTTAAAATGGGGGGACACAATTTGATTGATGAGTTAAATATGAAGATATAAAACAGATGTGGAACGAAATTGTGTGACGGAAATAAATACAAAAGTACATTCAATAAAAGGAAAAAAGTATTTGTCCACATACCTTTTTGCCTTTGGTCAAAATTTACGTTGATGGCACCTAAAAGTTCATTTTGGACAGTTTTAGACGTTCTTCTTTCAGATGATTTGTTAAAGCAGAGACCAATTCAATCGTAAAATGAATCAGACCTCGAAATATACCTGGATTTTGTGGTTCCCTACTTTCGTCATGCCCACGTAAAGCAAGTTCAAACTTCACAAAATTTTATGCACATTATCAATCGGCGTAAAATATGGCGATTTTTGTCGACCCTTGCGTTATGTGCCCGAATATTATTAATATAGGCGGTGTTTAGTTGTTTTCGAATGTCCGTATTACTGAGAAGGTTATCCAAGAATATTTATCACACCCGTTTTACGTCTAAAACCCGCGATTGAGTTACTCCTGTCAGAACGGGACCGCAGTCCTATTGACTGAAATGGCTAGGACGTGTGGTTTCTATAGCAACGGTGTAAACAAAACTTTTAAATCAGCCATGATTCCGGTCTGTGTGCCCGGCTTTTATGAGCAATAACATATCATATACCCAAGTCTCACATCTTTAGATGCAAGTGGATGTAAGTTTTGATACATTTTATACAAGTGGAGCGAGATAAAAAAATTAGTTTTGATAATTATGACACAAATTTCCGGATATTTTTTTAAATATTGAAAATTACTATTTTTCTATGTCCAGTGTGTTTGTAGACGTTGTAATTTTGGGGGGACACTTGCCTTTGTGCCCCCCGGTACCAGCCGCTCCTGATTTTTATTTGAATGAAGCTAATATTGGTGTACAAATACATATTTGTAAAGATAAAATATAAATAAATACATCATATCATAGAATAAACATCTTAACAAACTTATTAGGGAACTTACGCCGCTTAAAAATATTATAGATTCATTGATGAGAATTCTGTATTGAAAAGTTTGAATTTGTGAAATCAAATCGGTTATCAGGTTTTACAACATTTTGTAACGACTGAAAATCGTTAATATTATTGGTTGCTGGGTGCTGGGTGCTGAATTTTTGGAGTCCGGTCTTGTCCGTGGGACTAGGTCAAGGTTGCATGTTGAGCTAAAATATGGTGTTGAAATGTACTGGCACTGGCGTATGGCAATAATTGATTCTAAGTAACACCGTTTAAAGCCTTAGGGCTAAATCCGTATTGTATATTTCCTATTGTGCCTTCTAGCTTTCCTCTTAATCTTCTTTCTATAACTTGTGTGAAGACTTCTCCTGGTATGCTTTAGATTCCTCTATAATTGGAACATTTTTTTGCGTCACCCTTTTTGTGCAGTGGTAGGGTTAAACTCCCTTTCCAATCTTTTGTCCTTTGTTTCGATAACGTAATTTAGTAAATCAGCCAGTGTTCCTTTCGTCCAAATTCGTTTCTACGGCCAACAGTTTTTCGTTTTCGTCTTCCATTCCATAGTTCCCACTTCTGCTCAATACATCAAGTATCCGCCTATTACTTAGTTCCTTTATGCCTTTGCTTTTCTTTTTGGTTTTGTGTAACTCCTATGTAGCTTAGTTTGTATGTTTTATATAATTTCTTCTCATAGCTCGTTTTCTGTGTTATTACTATTTATCTTAATTTTCGTATTGGAGTTATCCAAATCATTTTCAAGTCCATCGCTCTTTTCATCATTGTTACATCTCCTGATTAGTTTTTTGGATTATATGTAGTTCGTCTTTGTTATTTTTCTGAGCTGTTTTTCTAGCATGTCTTCACCGGGCGATTTCTTCCTGTGCTTCAGTCTATTTCCATTTACTTTCCTCTTTTTTCCTCCTACTGAACGTCCCGTGCTTCATATACTTCATTGTTAACTACCAACTTGTTGTATCTTAGGGTGGCTTGATGATCTTTTTCTCTAGCCTGTAAATGAGGTATCAGCGATCTTCTTTGTTGCCGCAGTACCCTCAAGCTTCAAACTCACGATCGTGGCCGTGATAAGACCGAAAGTATACTGTGAGCTGAAAAACAAATTTGGGAACGCGAAGAAGAAAAGCCCGACATCAGTACTCGCCGACTTGCAGCTGAAGTTGGAGTTTCACAGTTTGTAGTGCATCGTATATTAAAAGAACAAGACCTACATCCATACCACGTTAAAAAGTGCAAGCTTCGGAGTCCGCTGATTTTCCACCTCGTGTAATTTACTGCGAATACTCGTATTTGTTGCGACAATGTCGTGAACGACAAACTTTTTAAATTGCATTCTGTTTACGGATGACGCAGGATTCACTCACAATGCTGTTTTCAACAGCCACAACACTCACATTTGGTCTGATGAAAATCTGCAGACTCGTCAAGAAGTACGATTTCAACGACGGTTTTACATAAATGTGTGGGCCGATATCTTAAATGACCGCGTTGGATCTTATGTTTTAGCAAATAGACTAAACGTGGCACAGTACTTCAAGTTTTTATGCAATGTGTTGAAAGAGCAGCTAGATGTGGAAATGCCTCTAGGTGAACGAGTAGTACTTGCATGATGGAGCAGCACCACATTTTGCTAGGCCAGTAATGGAATGGTCAAATAATCATTTTCCTAGCCAGTGGGAGGTTAGAGACGGCCCAGCAGTTTAGCCTCCGCGTTCACCCGATCTCAGTCCGTATGTTTTTTGACTGTAGGGTTAGATGAAATAGTTAGTTTATGGAAATCAACAGTGTCCAGAAACTATCAAAGAGCTTCAACAACGAGTGGAAGTGGTAGCCGCTACAGTTCATGGAACTCCCTGACTTTTGTTACGTATCCGTGCAAATTTATTGTACACAGGTAGTAGCATTCTAAGTTGCTGTAATTTTTGTTCTAATAAACAACGTGGAATCGTTGTGTCAAGGACCAAACATCCGTCAGAAGAAAAAGTCGATCACCATGAAGCATTACCAAAAATCGGTCCTTCTCAGGACCACCATTTGTTTCTACAACTAATAATCTTTCACGTTCAACTTTAACGATGAATGAATACACGAATGAACGAATGATAACCTGCAAAATGTCGGTTTTACTTTTAATTGAACCTGAAAATGTTTACATCTTTTTTATTCGAACGTTTTTCCTCCTCCTGTTTAAAAGGTGGATCAGTGGCATCGCATTGAGGGTGGTACATGGGGATTTTGCCCCTTCCGATTTTTAATTTGTTTTTTCTATATTTCCACATTACTTACTACGGTACTTGATGCATATATAATTATTGCATATATTTCGAAATCACCGTGTATAATTTATATGTTTGACAAATAAACATTCTGACTTTTTATTTATCTGTGTAAATAAAATGCTGATTTACACAGTTGGTAGCAAATATGTATGTACAATAACGGTAAACTGGTTTTCGAGGTCGAGCTGATCCCTGATAAACTAATACAAGTAGATAAATGTATGTCACTGCAAAAAAGTGGCTTACGTTGCATGAGCAAATAAGTACTACATTTTAATCACATGATCAATGTAATTATTAGCCATAGTTTTATCGTAAGATGGTACTGTACCAATCTCAGATTCTGAATTGTCGTAAATGTGATAACAATGCTTCCTTACTTTTGACAAGGAACTCAAAATAATTACCTTTGTTCCAATTTGGAAGCGAGTATTTGAATTTAAAGAGTGAATCAACGTAAGATAGAATCAAGTAATTGTAACTATTATTACTGCTAACACTTTTCATCTAACTTCTCAACATGACACTAGGTTGACACAAGCCAGTTCCTTTACATTAACAGGTCACAAGCGAAGAAATGAGAAATGATCTTCCCTTTTTTGGTACTGGCGTTTCTTGTGGTTACTAACTGTCAAGAAATAATTACTCTACTCAACGACACTCATTTCATATGCGTTGCGGGGAACAGAACTTCGGTGATTTACACGAAACCACCTGTAGTTGAAGATCCTGAAAGTACAGAAGTGCTTCTTGACAACGACTCTTGGCTTCATTGGCAACTAAAAGAATCTCAAAATGTGGCACATGCACCTGTTACCGATAGAAGATGGGAAGGTATTTTCATTGAATGATGTTTATGCATTGCATGCAATTAAGAAAACTCAAAACATATTGAACCTTTATTATTATTAGTATAAACCATTTCAGGTTTCAAAACGATCCGTACGAACAATTATAAATTTTCCACAATCGCTTCAACTTCATTTTCGATTTATTGTTCGAATATTCCATGCACAGTAAACTTCACAATATGGGATAATACTTCTGAGACTTCTAAGGACACAAACATAACTGTTAATTCATGGGTTCATTACACACTACATTTTGTAAGAGGAATTTTAACAGTTTATGAAGGTGATAGTAACTTCAACACTATGGGCCCGTGTTCGAGCGTCCCTGAAGTTATTGTCAAAACAACACATAATACAACTTGGAAAATCCATAACTGTAAGTAAATTCAAAAGGTGATGAGTTTGGTATATTTTTCATCACACTACCCACAGGTTGAAATTTAACAGTTACATTTCTTACGTGGGTAAATAGTGTACATAATCGTAGTAACTTCAGAAAGAAGTAGGACAAAATGACAAATTAATAACATTTTTTTTAGATCGTGTCAGAGTCACAAATAGAAGATCTCAACCAGCAACAACCGTATCTGTTCCACCCACTGTTTCTTGCTTGATGTTTTATGTCTATCTTTGCCCGAATTGTCTTTTAGAGATCTATACGTCTGAAAAATTTAAACATACTTTGCAATCTAACCCTGATTCCATTAAAAAGACCGGACTGTTCAAAAGCCAGGAAGTTTTAGTCAAAGTTAACGCCAGCCTAAAATTAGTTACACGAACATTACACAGACCAGGAAACGTTTACTGGGGAATAGATATACGAGAGTGCTCTAACATAAAACTGAATACAGGTAAGTAAGTTAAATGTAATAGATATTACTAAAATTAACAACTACACTTGTTATTTGAACGGTTTACCTATAAGTGCCTCATCAGTCTCATCACACTCATTAAACTCAGATGTCTTCTTACATGTGAAGATTTATTGATTGATATGTTGTTAAGTAAACTTGCTGTTGTGCTTATCAGTTCATTCAACAATAAGTGTAATATTGCGTAAAACAAGTATGAATGGTCTTACTCTCAGTATTTAGCTGAGAAATAGATTAACTGATTACACCCATAAACATAAGTATTTGACCAAATAACACAACAAAAAATAAAGACAACGAAATATTTTTTGCAGCAATATACAAGGTAAAGTTGAACAACAATGACCAAGAAAAAAACAGAACATGTGAACTTTTGTCTCCAATCAGTGAGGGACAAACTAGGACGGTAGAGGCACGTCAACATTGTAAACCTGGCTTTCTAGGACCCAAATGTGACTTACCTTGTAACAAATTGTTGGGGCCAGAGAAAAGTTACTGTGAAAACTATAAAATTTGTGAAAAATCCTCACTTAATTCAAGATGTTTGTGCTCGTGGGGGTTCCAAGAACCGTTATGCGTCCAACGTAAGACAACAAAAATTTATAGGAAATCTTGATGATACCTACTAATATTGTTTTTTTAAGTTTATAGTTAATGTCGATTAATTGAAATTCATTTTCTATTTTGCAGCATGTGAGGATGGAATGTGGGGTTTATCTTGTAACAACTCATGTAACAACTGTCTAACATGTAACAAAAAGACAGGAAAATGTGTCAAGGGTAAATAGTAATTTTTGATATAGTTATTAACATTTTCACAATATACAATAATGCATAAAACATAAATTTTCCTTTTGATTTGATTTTCTCTTTCTACTAGTTTTTTGAGCCTATGCCACTAAATCAGGATACGCTTCTGTCCATCTTTAAATTTTCTTTTAATTTGCATTCCATTCTTGTTTGTCTCTTCTTGTATTCCATATATTACTGTATTCTTCTTTCTTATCTTTCGTTTATGTTTTCTTTCATTGTCATTCTATTTCCTTGTATAATTTACACGATTTTCCCCTTCATATTATCTAATTTTTGCTCAATCCTCAATTCGTTATATTCCCATTATTATTTGTGATGTCATGCTTTTGGGTTTTTTCGCATGTTCTTTCCTTTCCTCGTAGCATTTAAAACCAAAATTAACCTGTGTAATTTTTGTTTCAGCTGATACTACTACTAAAACAATCACAACATATAAAAAAATTTTGACAGAAATAAGCCACTCTGAAAATGCTACATCCCCACCTCTTCTACCCTCTTCATTTTATTCATCTCAAATCACACCACAAACAACAATTTCGCCAGAAATAAGCAAATCTGAAGACATTGCATCGCCGACTACAATATATACAACAATTGTTTCAGAAATAAACCCGTCTGAAAATTTTACATTTCAAGCTGTTCTACCATCTAAATTCTATCCATCTCTTGAGGGTTTGTTAGTTCATAATCCTACTAAAAAAACACATGACGCTTTTAATATTTTTAGATACAATAATATTTTCAAACATACCACCACCAACAACCAATGATTCAACTAAAGCTTATTTTGTATTCACGAAAACTGACTTTATAAACTCAACAAAGGAAGTCATTGCTTACGCTTTAATTTTATTGAAAGAGCACGTTGACATCCAAACTACAAATAGATCATGGGATGGAACTTATAAAACTTGGCCTCCAATACCAAAAAATTCTATACAGCTTACACCCAATTTATGGAATCCGTTCACAGGTATGTTCAACAAGTGATAGCAAAGCTAAATTTTAGCTAAGTAATTTAAGATGACCAACACACCTGCCATTTTATAATTGGCGCTAACAATAGTTGCTGTAAAGAACACTGTGATAATACACCTTTAAAACCTAATACTAGATACTGGTTAATGGTAAGGGCGCTGACAGATCAAACCTATAATGATAGCTCCCTGTTATTTTTTCAAACAGGTGGGTAATTTTCACCATCGTTTATTTTTTATTTATTTATTATTTTTTTTTATTATAAACTTATACAGCTTCCAAGGATAGCTTCAATATCTATTACATTTCGCTAGGAGTATTAATTCTTGTAATGATGATAATGGTTGTCCTATTTTATATAATATACAAAATAAGAAGACGAAACAATCAAGCAACTATTAACCAAGAAGAAGAGATGAGGCTAATAATGAATACGAAACCTCTTGAAACCACAGTCATCGACTTCAACAGTCTTCCAAATCATTGTTCGCAACCTACATTCCTTACAACTTTAAAAATCCAGTTCAATGTGAGTTTTTCATACAAATATAACTCTATTACTGGTTGCCTGCTTAACAATAACCCATGCTTTCAAATGTTTTCAGTCCATTTCAGATCCTGTGCCCCATAGTTCTTTTAGAGTTGGTTTGCAACCAAATAATATTAACAAGAACAGGGATCGAAACCGAGTTATACCTTGTAATTTTTATAATTCTAATAATCATTTATCTGATGCAGTTTTTTAGATGATTCCAACAGAGTTGTTCTTAAGCCAATGAAAAGTGTAGGAACAGAGGACTACATAAATGCTAGCTACATTGACGTAAGTTTCTTTGTTTACTCTACGAAAAATGAAAATGACAATTTCAGGGCTACAATCGTCCAAAAGCTTACATCGCTTGCCAGTCACCCAAATTCTCCACCATCAAAGACTTTTGGAGGATGATATGGCAAGGAAATGTTAGTGTTATAATAATGGCGACAAATTTTATTGAACATAAAAAGGTAAAGTTTTCCAGACGACGATTCTCTTTTTAACAATTAAGTTTTTTATTTTTCAGCGAATGTGTGCAGAGTATTGGCCCCAGAGAGCATCAACGGTGCATGAATATGGTAAAATTATAATAAAATTGCGTAAGGAATCCACTTTTGAACTATATGCTTATCAAGAGCTTGAAATTACTTACGGTGACAAGAGCAAAAATATACATCATATTCATATCAAGTGGAGATTTGACGATTCCAATATGTTTTACCCGAATGACGTTTTACCAGTTGTCAAACTTATAAGACAACAGTATGACAATCCACGTGGACCGATTGTCTTCCACTCAGGGTTGGTCGTTTAATGTTTTGCAGAACTAACAGCCAGCTAACACACTGATTTATAGTTATGGTACAGGTCGAGTGGGAATTTTAATTTTATGCGACTTAGCACTACAGATGATCAGCAAAGAGAATACAGTTGACTTTTTCAGTTTAACAAAAACACTTAGAGATCAACGGGCGTCTATGATCACCAACGTGGTAATAACAAAATTTTAAAAATCTGTACTGTGTTAACTTGTATGCGTGATTAACTAATACTATTTTTAACCTTAGGAGCACTACATTTTTTCACACTTACTTATGAACGAATACTATTTGGAACATTCAAGTCCGTTTCAATATTCCATTGGACAGAATATAAAACACGACGATATAAAACAACAGTTGAAGTATTTAGAAACTCTGCGTCACTACGATAATATTTTTCAAGAAGTTAGTCTTCAGTATTGCATTCCTAGACATCCTTTTGAAAGTGTGATAGGTTAGTACTTGGCAGCAAAACCGAAAAGGTATATTTAAAACACGGTTAAACATATTTGTAGTTGCACGATATGGACAGAGGAGAAAATATTTAATTTCTCGGGAACCAAAAGAGGAACAACTTATAGATTTCTGGAAAATGGTGGCAAAGGAATCGATTTGTTGGGTTTTATTCTTAAACAAGGTAAAAAGTAAACTCAAGATATTAAACTATATATAGTGTTGTTACACTCTTTCTATGATGTATTTTTTACTCAGAGATTTCTTGTAACGACCCACGTAAGTGGATCTCTAGAAACGATAAACATTACCCGCAATCGAGTTGTAAACACAACCTACGGCCTGATGACGGAAGGCTCCTTACTGATATACAATACAATTTCGAAAGAGGTAAAACTGTGTACAAAGACAAGCTCGAAGCACGTAACGTCTTTATCAAACATTACAGACGATCTACGACGGGAAATTATATATCTTTCAATTTAACAACTGGAAAGTGAATCAGTTGGTTCCGAATTCAGTACATAGCTTTATTTCTTTGCTAAACCATCTTCACAGAGATACAGCCAAGGAAAAACTAGTTTTAGTTTCTTGCAGGTATGTTAATCTTGATATCAAAACCAAAAAGGTTCATTGTCAAGATTTCTCTTCAGTACTTATCCCGTTATGTTATCTTTTTTGGGGATTATATTTTTAGCGATGGATTTACAGCTTGTGGCTTATTAGTTGTTTTCTCATACATCGTAGAGAAGTATGAAAATGAATTAGAAATTGATGTGTGTAATGCCATACGACTTGCACGAAGAAGTGGAAGATCGTTCGTTAACAGAACGGTGAGTGGTACAAGTGTTCTTGAAATGAGTGCCAAAACATTAACTGGTTCAAATTACAAACTTTTCTCTATAACATTTTGTTGAAAACGGATCTTTAGTTTGCAACGAAGATTTCAACGGCAGTTTTCTATTAGTGTATAAGCAGTGATTTATTTAGACTTTTTTTACAAACTATGTTTACCGACGTCTTGGGCGGGTTCTGTGATTCATGGATGACGGGGCTTCACCGCACTACGCAAGGAATGTTTCCAAATGGTCAAACACTAATTTTGAAGAAAAATGGTGATTCCAAGTTTTTTTGAATCATTATTTCTTCACTACGGACTTCGCGAATTGTATAATTATCAAAAGTTGTATCTATTAATTGTTCCAAAAATAAAAAACAAAGTTGGTTGTCCATTTAATTTCAATCAAAATTCGTTAAAAATAGTGAAAGTGTTATATCTTGTTATCCTTGATCTTAAATTAAATATTATTAATTAATCAAAAGAAGTTGTGCTTCGCGTTGCGTACAGAACGCTGCTCTAAACCGATGTAGGAAAATAAACAGAAACTTTTTCTTTTTAAAAACATATGATCCTAACAACACAAACGCACGATTTAAATAAAATCTCTGGAACAATATTTTTACAACACTTTATATGTATTGGCATGTTCAATCCTTGCTTTTTTGTTTCAGAAACAACTAACATTTATTTATGAATGCATCAGGGATTATATCGAAAACTATGATAAATACCAACAAATTGTAGTAAATGATGTAAACAAGAATAAAAAAATTAAACAGTGGAGATTGTATTTATTCATTAAATCATGTTAACCTCAAAAGAGCTTTAGGTTTACGTCCAGTTTGGTGTGTTATGTCAGGACTTTTCGTATACCAAGTTCGTTGTTGGCTTAATTCGTGTTACTTGTTTAATTTGTACTATTGTTATATAAATAAAAAAAAAACACGATTTATGTCACATTTTTTATTCGTATCTTTTCAATCTCTAAAAAGTACTCACACTTTCAAAGAAACTGTTTTAAATCATTATGTGCAACATCAATATTATTCTTAAATAAGTCTTCCTTTTTATTATCGTCCCCATATGATTGACACCACAGCAGATAAAGTAGCCGCGTGCCATTCAGTTAGTACAGGGTAGTATTAATATTATTAATTAAAATATTTGTAATCATGTTTTCAGTAACGATTAAAAAAGAATTTATTTTTATTTCCTAAAACTGCCTGAAAGGAAGTTTTATTGCCTATTTTTATAAAAATTCGGTCCTAAAATGTATTCCTTCTCTGAGGTTTTTTAAGGCTTAAAACCTGCCCTTTAATGATTGGCTCCACCTCTTCTTCTTGGATAAGAGCTGCTTGATTATTTCGTTTTCTTATTTTGTATATTATGTATACTATGCCAACCGTTACCAAAATTACAAGAATTAAAACACCTAGTGAAATGTTACTGGTATTGACGCTATAGCTGTCCTCGGAAGCTGTAAATGTTATAGGAAAATACAAATAAAATATAAGAATTAAATAATAAATAAAAAAAGTAAACATTCTAAATTACCTGTTTGAAAAAATAACAGGGAGCTATCATTATAGGCTTGATTCGTGAAGGCTCTCACCATTAACCAATATCTAGTTTTAGGTTTTAAAGGTGTATTATAACAATGTACTCTACAGCAACTGCTGTTAGCCCCAATTATAAAATTGCAGATGTGTTGGTCATCTAAAATTACATTATCTAGAATTTAGCTTTACTATCACTTGTTGAATACATATACATACCTGAAAACGGATTCCAAAAATTCGGTGTAAGCTGTAAAGAATTTTTCGGTATGGAAGGTCAAGTTTTTAAAGTTCCCTCCCAAGATCCATTTGTACTTTGTATGTCAAAGTGCTCTTCCAATAAAATTAAAGCGTAAGCAATAACTTCGTTTGTCGAGTTTATAAGGTCATCTTTAGATAACACAAAATAAGCTTTCGTTGAGTCATTTGATGTTGGAGGCGATATGTTTGAAAACGTTATTGTGTCTAAAACTAATATATTTATAATTTTTTAGCGCGATTATGAAGCAACACACCGCCAAGCATTGGATATAATACAGATTTTTGAACCGTTGGCGATGTAAAATTATTATTAGACTGGCTTGCTTCTGACAAAATTGTTATGTATACTGAAGTTGTTTCGGTTGCAATGTTGTCTAAAACAAAAATTGCATTTGTGTAATTTTCCCGAGCGTAAGCTAAGGAAGTATTGTAATCGAGTCAATCGGGCTATCTGCTACTTTTATGTGTTCTCGACGTTTCATGACCCCTAGAATACGAAAACATAGGTCTCTCGCGTCTGTCTGTCTGTCTGTCCGTCGTCTCCCATCTGTCGTCTGCCGTCTGCTTCCATCTGTGTCTATTTTTATTAAACAGATAATCTTCTAAACTATCAGACCGATTGTTGTCAAACTTTGTATGTATATTAGAAATATCGTGTAGATGCTAAAACGCTAACCAAAATTTATCTGATCATCCCACCAACAATCATATGACACAGGGCCGGCTTAACACGGTAAGCGAAAGATGCACCGCATTGGGGCGCCCGTGATAAAAGGCGCCGGGCGGCGGGCGCCGCCTATGCTATTATATTAACTCTATAAAAAAAAAATAATATTAGTTTTGCATTGAATCACTACCAATAAAATATTATAGCAGTAACAGACCAAGACGCCCATCGAAAATTTTTCAGAAAAAGCTCCATTTTAACATTCCACTATGACCACCAAAACTGATTCCAAGAAGTCAATTCCTGGCACTTTCAAACTGTAATAATTTAAAAAAAGTGCGCCTTTGGGTTGGGTGATGGGACCTTTAGATCAATACCGACAAAAAATACCCAGATTTATGATGCATTATCTGGGTAACAATTTGACGAGACAGCGGTATGACCACACCCAGATGTTTTTCCTAACTTCGGCATACTTAAAAATTTTATTTTCCAAGTCTAGTCGGTTGGTTTTGGTTGTGGTGGTTGTTCAACAGTTTTGTTATATTTTTCACTGTTCCTGTTTGTAGCCGAATTTGGTTGTGTGTATCATTTCGTAGCTTTTTGTCATCATTAATTTTAAATTTAAATTTCGATTAACATTGAGGTAAATATAAATTAAAAATAACTTTGAAATCGTATCAATTTTACAATATTAAAAATTGAAAAACGTTTGCAATATAAATATTTTTATATTTATACTATATATAGTTTAGGAAATATCGGTGTACCCTATAAAATTTTGTTGACAATAACGAGGCGGACAGTAGTACAGTGGTAAGAAATATTTATGGCTCACACCAGTCCCCCCGAATTTGTAGGAGAACATTTAGCAGGTAATTGTACGCATAGGATCGGACTTCCGCTGCTTTAGAAATTTAAGGTCTGCGGATTACCGCCATGCGACAACTGTAAGTTGTAAATATCTCTTGCTATTGTACTACTGTCCGTCTCGTTATTGGCAAGAAAATTTTATAGGGTACAACGATATTTCCTAAACTATAGAAAAGTTGTTGTCCGCAGCTCCGTTTGCGTGGAATTCGCAATTAGGACTCATCAGTTTTCATACATGATCGTTTTCCGGGTTGGAACTGTGTAAATTGGGTTTTTGGGCTCAACGTTTCGCACACTTTCGTAAGTGGCATCTTCAGGAGCAGGGTTAAGAATAAGGCAAAAGAGCACGGTAACTCAGTATGTCAACCATACCAGAGGCGAAACTCCTTTGAGAAATTACACGGTTCCAACCCGGAAAACGATCATGTATTGATTCCGACCGTGGAATTATCATTTTTCATCTCGTTTACTCCTCCCTCCACAGCGAACCCGTCTGACTTAAAAACCCACGGCATTTCTGCACAAAGCTTCATCCTCTATTTTGTCCCCGTAGGGGCGGAATTTCCAGAAATCTTTTCTTAATGGGTGCTTATGACACAAAAGTAACCTACTGTCCAAATTTCATGCTTGTAGCTTCAGTAGTTTAGGCTTTGCGTTGATGAATCAGTCAGTCTGTCAGTTAAGACAAACATTTTTATATATTAAGATTGATTCATCATAATTTTATCCATGTTTATTAATAAAAAGTATCTCTCTACAAAAATATGTGATTACAAAATTTTATTTGTTTTTTTTTTTACAAATTTTTTTTTAAGGGCGCTGAACAGTAAGTTTGCATCGGGGCGCCTGGTCCCTTAGAGCCGGCCCTGATATGACATCATCTCCAACTTTTAGATATGTAAATTTTATTTAAATTTTATAAAATTACATACTTCTCCACTTGTAATTTATAAATCCGTGTCGAATTTTTACCATAGTCATCCAGATTTTTGTAAAAAAATCAAAATTGTATGACAACATATTCTCATTTATATACCTACGACCCTTTTCATTTATTAAAAAGTTGTTCTCAATATTAAGTACTAATTACAGCGTCAAGAAATGACTTGCATTGTCTTACGTTGTAATAGTCGTTAATCAGTTGGTTTACTTAAAGTTCTATAGGTGAAGGTAACAAGATGATGAGGAGTTTCAGTGTAAAAAATGTTACTGAAATGTTTGTGACGTTTAAAAAAAAACTTACCTGTGTGGAAGGAGAGTAGAGAGCTGTCATTATATGCTGTACTCGTTAGAGCTCTAACAATTAACCAATATTTAGTGTTAGGTTTTAAAGGTTTATTATAACAATATTCTTTACAACAACTGTTGACAGCCCCAATTATGAAATTGCAGGTCTCTATTTCATCTAAAATCACAGCTAAACTTTAGTTGTACAGTCATCTCATGAATACATACCTGTGAATGGATGCCAAAGATCGGGTGTAAGCTGTAAAGAATTTTTCGGTATGGAAGGCCAAGTTCTAAAAGTTCCATCCCAATATCTATTTGTACCTTGTATATCAACGGGCACTTCCAATAAAATTAAAGCGTAAGCAATGACTTCTTCTGTTGAGTTTATAAATCCATTTTTAGTGAACACAAAATAAGCTTTCGTTGAGTCATTTGATGTTGGAGGCGATATGTTTGAAAACGTTATTGTGTCTAAAATTAACATATTTATTTTTATTTTTTTAGTACGATTGTAAAGGAACACACCGCGAAAGGATGGATACGATGTTGATATTCGACGCCTTGTAAAACCGTCATATTTTCTTACTTCTGGAACTACGTCATCTAGGACAAAAATTACCGAAATTGTTTTGATTTACAAGTAACAAAATTAAGCAAAATAGCAGCATCTGCTGACACTTGTCAACAGTGGATTAAAATAAATGCAAATATCATTTGTCTATTTTATTTTTAAAGAGAGTAAATAGTGAAAGAGAAAGGAGTGAGAATTTTGAACGCACGTTGTGCGTAAAGTCAAAAATTTTGGCTACACCAAGAACAAAGAATTTTGAACCTTATGTCGCTACTGTAGGTATACGTTAGAATGAAATGATTTACAACCTTGGTGGCTCGATGTGGAAAACTACAACCAGAAGCCCCAACTGAAGGCGAAAACTGGACAACTCTGACATGGACCTCAGTCATTTATTAATCAAGATAATTCATTTTTAGAAAATCAATCATATCTTCGGGTTCCAAGAAGTGAAGCCCAAAATATATACATCAATGAACAAGGAACTAATCAGTGATAATGTATTTGCAACAATTTATATACCCTAATTTTCATTGGTAGCCGAACTGGTCAATAGTCTCCACGCCCAAAATCAAAATCACAAAAATCCTGTAAATGAATGCCTAGACAGATAACACTTTCGTTTATATCGAAAATATTACAGCAACAAAACATTTACCTGCTTCTTCTGAGTAATCTGTTAGTGTTAAATGTAATCTCCAGTATCCATTTTCAAATGGTGGATTTTGGATTCGATTAAACTTCACCTGGTTGGAAATTTTAGGATTTATTTTTAGTTTATATCTTTCCCATCTTTCTTTATTATGGCTGTTTGATGAAACAATTAAACAATTATCATAATTATATGTTGTAACCAGAACGCAGGTGTTGCACAAGGAGACAGAGATAATTAAATAAACCTCTTTGGAACCTGGAATTTTCAATATGTTGTGTTTCTTAGTAGTTCTAGTGGCTTCTCTAAAATCATCTAAAAATAGAAATCTATTATTTTAATTAAGAACAAATTAATCAAGTCTAGAGAAAACATCAATTTTGTGGGTCAACAATTTTATTAAGAAATTTTGTTGGATAAATATGTATATAGTAATAGTATTGCTTATTTCATTATTTTAATATTTTTCAAAAAAAAACATATACTCAAACCGACATGATGATCTTTAGGATATTTTGCAATCCAAAAAAATGCAATTATTTGCCAACGTTAAACTAAAATATTTTGAGAAATTACATATTTATAAATGCAATATATGCATTTTTTTTAACTTTTGTTGCAGAGAAAATGCGAATAAAAAATGAAAGATTTTTCTTATATTTTTGTTTTTGTCATACATGCACACAGTTAATTCAAAAATGAAAATTATATTATTCATGCCAATAGTATATTATTACGAACTAAACTCATACGCCTCCCCGGTACAACGCCTATGAGTTTTCTAGTATCTACGGCGTTAACCGGTGACTCATTATCAGTGACGGAGGCGTTCGACTAAAGAAAAGTCTCAGAAAGTCTCAATTCCAGAACAACCTCGAAAGCGCATATCACGATCTGTCCAGAAGAAACGTTTGGTTTGAATAGGGACCATCGTCGGCTCGGCAATAGGCTCGTCTAGTCTACTCCAGCCGAGTCGATTAATGAGTATAAGTTAAGTTGAGTCAGAATTATTCACTGTTACATTTTCGCTGTGTAGTTAGTTAGTCGTGTAAATTTGTTTTACTAAAAAATAAGTAAATTATTGAGCTTTACCCACGCTGTAAATCGTAACCACATGTACCATCTACTGCATTATTAAATGCGAGTATATACTTACATTCGTAGATTTTAAAGTTTGCTGGTGTCGAAGGTTCTATTATTAATTCTTTTGGAACCAGAGGGAGCTTGTGCATTAATATGTCATAATTTTTATAATAAAACAACTTATTATTCTTTACGAAAATAGTAATTGTGGTCCAGATTTCTGCTTCGTTTATTTCACAGTGAAAAGGAGTGCTGTTTTCTCCTGCGATTGCGAAAAATTTTATCTCATTTGTTCCCTTTACCGAAAAACTGTAAGAAGTCAGTTTATTATCAAAATTCACCACGAATTCATTCTGCTTCTTTGGTCTGAAGTCTGAAAAGAATAAACAAATTCAATTTTGTTAGAAGTCTGTTAGAAACATGTTTGTCTCTTGATTTATTAGACACCTAACCGGGGCACCGGAGAAACTACTGAACAAATTTTTATGAAATCGTAAGTCTACTTTAAAAGATAGAAAATAAAGCGCTTAGTAAACTTTGTTTATTCGTCTCCACCAAAAATTAAATCTTATAGTATCCGTCTCTGTGTTTGTTTATCGTCTGTTGAGTATTTATTTCATTAAGCAAATAATACTGGAAAGTAGGTACTACTTAGAATAGGTACTGTGAAATTCAATGTACACCGTAGAATTTCGTAACCGATAAATCAGATTTGTTTACCACTACTAATAATCTGATAACGTCATCTCAAAATTTTGATAATATATAGTAGCTATTGGAAAAAAATCAGAGAAAACTGTACGATAAAATTATAGCGCAGATTGCTTTCACATTTTACACAAGCTTATCGTGAACAAGGTAACTCGCTAGTCAGAATTTATTTTTTTGTCCTTTCTAAAAACTTTATCAACAAAGATCAACAAACTGAAAAATTATTCACACTTGAATTAGGAAACTTGTAAAAAATATAAATATTGGACAAGGTTGAAGTAAATAGACAAGAATTTTATTATGGTGCATAAATTTAAAAATTTAGATAGAACATCCCTCGCCCCTGAAGTGCAATAAAACAAACCCAGTTTTTTAGAAAAATTATAAAATTTTATTTTTCAAAAATTTTTTTGAAGCTCCCGTTAACTGTAAATAAAGATATGTGAAATCCGTTAAACTGCAGGTAAAGAACCACATATATTGTTAAAATACATTTAAATTTGGCAACAATTACCTACTCTAGTAGTTTCGCAAACTATTTGGCTATTGAAGTCAGTCACTAACAGATCACAAACGATAGAGGGTGAAAACGGGAGACCTATTTGTTGATAGTCTAGAAGCTTTAAACGTAGAGAACACATACAATTAATTATTAAGGCTGATTTATAGCTATTCCGCATACACAAACGGACCCCTATTGGTTGAACGTAAGCACCGCAAGAAACTTGCGTCGGTTACGGACCCGCTTCGGGATGCGGAGTTTTGTTATAAATGCATGTTAGCAAAACCTAATGTTGAACTTTCTTATAATAATAATAATAATATAATATCTTTATTGTCCAACAGGGTGGCCCTAATGGCAGGACAATCTAATATATGACAAAAAATTAAAATAAACATTCAAGCATAAATTAACTAAAAAAAGAAAATTCAAATTAACAAAATATACAGGGTCATTATAAAATACTGTAGTCAACTCACCTATGAAAAACAATTGAAATTTTTCTCGTGCCGCTAATCACCAAAATGATTTCAACTCTTTTGAAATGTCACGAACGTCGAAACAAATTTATCAAATGTGTCAAAAATTGATATGCCAGGTTTGCGATTTAATTTCATTTTAAATAGACACGAAAAGACGCCAGGCCAGAGCATTAAGGGTTGCAGTGTTATCGAGCATTTGCGAACGCCACTGCAATACATTTCAGTTTCAAAAATTGTAAATTGTCAGAAAAACGTTTAAGGGCTTTGTCATGAATTACACCTTGGAAAGTCGATTGGAGTTGAACAGAATAAATCATCTGGTCTGTTTTGCAAAGAACCAATAATTTTTCAAATAATGAAATCCAAAAAGTGAGGTTAAGTTTGTCGAAACCAATGAACACGGTAATTATTTAAAAAATTACATTTTTATAGGTACCCTGAAGGTAAAAATTGTGAAAAATCACGTAATGGACAATGGCAGAGCAAGTCTTATCACAGTTAACGAACACTATGAGTACCTAATGAGTTTTTGCAGTAAATAATTTTGCCAAAGTTGTGATCCCGCGAAAGTTCTGTTTGTAAATTGTAAGGAATCGTCAAAATATTGGTGCAGACATGGTTTCTGACCGGTGCTTTTCTCTTGAAAAAACACAACTGAAAGCCTTGATCTTCATCCCTACAATAGGTGAAAACTGCTATGTCCAAACATTACCTTCAGCTTTGCAGTTTCTAGATATCTGAAACATGCCAGATCTGCATAACAGGAATGTCAAAGAGGTTCTACCCAAAACACGCCCACATGGCCATCATAATATCAAGATTTTTCAAAATTTCTATAACAAAATAGGTGAAAAAACCAATAAAATTTCAGGAGCATAGTGTTAAAAGTTCTGTAGATGATTATGAGATCTCTTGAAACAACAGAATGTTTAAGAAAGATTTTTAACTTTCCTAATAGTAAAATTACAATTATTACTAAACAGTAAGTTGAAGTAAGTTTTAAATTAAGAGAATGCAACTAACACCGAAAGAAAAATGAAAGTTACTGAAAATAAAAAACTTTATTGCAGTACCTACATACACTTTCTACATCTAATTTTGTTTATTGATCACATTCATTTACTTGAAAAAGTATCAGGCCTATGAATCGTCGTCTGGAAACAGCTAACCACACACCAACCTTCATTGCGTGTGATGGTGTTTCTTCAAAAGCGTGAGTATTTTCTATACACCAAATTCTGAAGTTCTGTCAGTTGACATAATAGCCTAACAGATGAAACCAGGCTTCATCAGAAAAGAACGACAAATCGAGAATCCCGTTATCGTCCATATCAGCTTGAAACCAACTACAATACCCAACGCGGCAAGGAAAATCAGCTGGTTGCAGCTCCTGAACCAACAAAATCTTGTATGGATGCATATGTAACTTCTCTTTTACGATTTTCTGACATGTGCTGTATGGTACTCCGGACAGTAAAGATTTTTGACAAAGCTTTATTCGGACTTTGTTCCATTCTCATCCTTAAATCTTCAACCACGTCTTCACTAACTTGAGGTCTCCCCGTCGGTTTTCACTTAGAAATGCTACCAGTGTCGTTAAATCTGGCCATAATTCGCCGTATAGCGTCTTCAAAGATTCTTCATCAGTGACAACAGAACATTTCACTAGATACTCGTTTTTAGACGCCTCCACAGAGTACACTCCACCCCCATCCTCATTTAACACCCCATTACGATAATAGGCATGATGATTGCGCCAAAGAACTAAAAAAATCATTTGTAACACTGACCATAGTTATTCCTCTCTGTTCATTACCTGAGATTATTCCACAATGATCTGTAGTTTTGATAAAAACTGTTTTTTTGAGACACTTATTAAAGTTCTAACAAAGGGGAAGACAGCAAAAATGAAAACAAGACAAGTCAATTAACGCACAAAGTGAGGGAAAACGTACCAGTACAAACGAAAAAATTATTGACATCTGATAGAATTTGATGAAGCGTTGAAACCACTGAAACAGTGCAGCCGCTAATGTCAACTAATGTGGCGTTAAAAATAAAAATTCCAATATTAGTGTAATCCTTTCCACAAAACTGAAAAAGGCGGCACAAAATGTCACCAAAATCATGGCCTTCTTCGACTACAATATTTTATAATGACCCTGTATCTTCTATATATTTGTCAGCACAACGACACATAGTGAAAACAGGTGCACGACGTAAAATATTGGTTCTAGCGGTAGGGAGTCGAAAAGTATTTACATATCTTGATGTAACCCTCGGAACATTAAACTGGACGGCAGATAACAGAAAAGGACAGTCAATTTTGTTGCGTATGAGTTTAGCTAAAAAATTAGCAGCATGTTGATCTCTACGCACTGACAGAGAAGATTTATGTTATGCCGTTGTAAAAGACCATTCGTATCTGTTCCTCTATTTGGATACGTCCCATCTAGTTTGAATGACAAAAATTTCAAAAATTTTCTTTGTACTTTATCCAGAAGCATATGTTGACACATATATATTGGATACCAAATTAAAGATGCATATTCCAGCTTGCTACGTACATAAACAAAGAGAGTCTTAATTAAATCAATATTACTAAATAGTTTCGAAATCCGCATTACAAATCCCAAAGATTTATTCGCTGCGCTACAAACATTGGTGATATGTTGATCAAAAGTCAATTGGCTGTCAAATGTAACACCAAGATCCTTGAAAGTTGTTTTACGTTCCAAAGGTGTTCTTCCAATCTGATATATAAAATCAAAAAAGTGCTGTGTGCGGAAATAAGATATAAAGCAACATTTGCTAATATTAATTGTAAGTTTGTTAAAATTACACCATTCGACAATTTTGATGAGTTGAGCTTGTAGATGAAGAGCATCAGATAACTTTGAAATTTTAGAATAAATTTTTAAATCGTCCGCATAAGCTAAAAAACAACATTCTAAGGATTCGAGAAGATCATTAATATATCAATTAAAAAGGAGGGGGCCAGGATTTGACCCTTGAGGGACACCTGAGGTCGAACAAAAAGGCAAAGAAATAAATCCATTATAAAATACATAATTCCTGGGATTAGTCAAGTATGATTCCATCAATTTAAGAAGGGAAGAAGAAAATCCAAGATTATTAAGTTTGTGAAGAAGGATGTCATGAGAAATAAGATCAAAAGCGTGAGAAAAATATGTATAAATAACATCAACTTGTTCACGTTTATTGAGGGCCTCACTAAGATCTTGAGTTAAGACAGACAGATTGGAGACTACAGATCTTCCAGTCCTAAAACCATGTTGCCCAGAACTAATAACTGAAGAGAACTTACTGTAGATAAAGTTATACAACACAAGTTCGAAAATCTTAGCGAAGGTATTCAAGATGGAAATAGGTCGATAATTACTTAGTAACGATGAATCCCCTTTTTTAAAGATTGGACTTATTCTAGCGATTTTCCAACGATCCGGAAACGTACTGGTTTTAAGAGCTAAATTTATAATGATGGAAAGAGGTTGTGCTAGTATATACCTGCAGTCACGAATAAGAAAACTGGGAATCAAATCATCACCGCTCGTTCGTTTGTTTGTAAGTTTTGCCATAATTGAAATCAAATCATCCGGAGTGACATGCGGGTTATAGATAAACAATTGTTGTAGACGTAAGACGAAGATTCAATGGGGACACAATTCTTCCGTTGCGTCATATGCAGAATAGATGTAAATCAGACTTTAGTGCTAGCGTACCTACGCTCAGAAGGATACATTTTATGCTCTTTCTAGTTCAAAAATACATACCTTTAAAATCGGCTTCAAAATGGGGCCTAGTTAATAAGCTGCTTGATTCTTTTATCACCCAGTCATCATTTTCCCAAAAATTGCTACTTAATAAATTTTTCCGGTGAGAGAAGACTATATCAGACTGTTTATATATTGATAACTTACAACTGTTTTTCTTTGGAGGTGGTAGTCCTGCATTTTCTTGTTGAAATAGGACCGCACATAAAAATAAAAGTTTGTAAGTATTCAAAACAGTTAATCTCATATTGTTGCACTTTTATTTTGCTTTACACTAAATTATACTTGTTTCACAAATTCAATAACCAATTCGACCAAGAAAATGTAATAGATTAGATTAAAACCTACTTAAAATTCAGTTACTGCTAAGATTTGTGATAAGATTATTTTTTTATTCTTTTAACTAAACAGTTGCATAATCCATTGAGATTTATTAATTTGTGTACAGAAATTGGTTAAGAGAGCTGATTCCACCATTGTGTTGGGGGTTACTAAAATGAACTGTCTCAGTTGAGATGCCTCTAGCCCCTAGCCTCGACTACCTCACCCACCTTCATTCATCTATCTGGTCCTCCAAAATGTGGTTCGACTTCAACAAATTATAGCAGTCCCAGACATACATGAACATTTAGCAAATATTTTTTTTTTTTAATAAATATTTATAGTTTGGCTCCTATTCCATTCAAGAATTTTTGGAAATCGTTAAAACTTATTCTGTCGTTGTTTCGTGTTAAACAAGATTTCACAGCATAGCAGTAACCTGGTTTTCTTTACTTTCTTAACTACTACAATGAATGAAGAGAACGAATAGTCTTAAGAACCAAAAAAGCTGTGCACTGATAAGCAACGTGCAAAAACATGCTAAGGGCCAGTCATGTATTAGTTTGTTAACGTCTTTGACAATGGTGAATTTTTCCAATTCAAACTCAACTCAAAAATAAAAGTGCAAATTGGTTTTCTCTGTGGAACATAAAATATTCATGATTGATATTGATGTTGAAGAACGCATGGAAAATAATCCATCAACTTCATCGAGGTATCTGTCGCAAGAAGTTGGTTGGACTTTCCGTGAGTACATGCCGTAGAATTGTGAAAAAAAAGCTCTATCTTTTCCCGTACAAACTTCATGTCGAACGAACTTTTGCCGGCTGATTTTAATAGACGTATTGCCTAATGCAGATGGTTTCTTGATCATCTCAATGATGATAACTTGCTGGATTTCTTTTCTGATGAAGCTTGGTTTCATCTCTCCGGTACTAAGTTTGTGTCACTTTGAATCACAATTTAGTGAGATTTTGTTTTGTATAGGTTATGTTGACTCTCAAAATATGAGACGCTGGAGTGCTGAAAATCCACAGACGTATCATTGGACCTAACAATAGACAATTTGAATTTTTTACAAGAATTCTTTGCTGATAGAGTGACAAGTTTACATTCAGTTCCTAAGTACCCCCAAGGTGACCAGATTTAACCTATGGATACCGTTTCCAACAGTTTCTTTAACTCTGTTTTCGCTTTTTAAGTAAACTCATTCTTATATTTTAAAACACAGTAGAGATAACAATCAGTAGAGACAGCTCGCCGTTTTTCGTGACCCGTTTTCGTGGGTGGTCGTTCGCATTATGACCGAATGAGGGCGCCCAACTGACGTCTAAAATATTTGAAATTTGGCAGTTTTGTTACAATATTTTTGCCGGTTTTGCTTGTTTAAGACTGCTTTTCCGGTAGAATTGTACAAATAGTGTAAAAATGTAATTTTCACAATAAAAGGTAAAATTTTTGTCCGATGAATTTTCATACAGGATCCCTGCTGTGCGCCTTATTCTCTCCATCTGTTTGGAATTCTTGGAAAAGATAGTAAACATAACACACTTTTTGTTTAAAAAGTCGTCGCAAACGGACAACAACGGTGGTTATGAAATAAATAATAAAAATTTATTATATATGATTCCGTTGTTGTGGTAAAATTAAATATAAAAATAATAAGAAACAAACTACACGTAACAAAAAATTATATAAGCAGACCTTCTCTCAATAAACAATTTTTTTATTCATCATGTATATATATATTTTTTGACCTACACAATCTTGAGTTTTATTTTGAAACGTTGCTTAACCCATAAGCAATCGCGCGTGGATAAAAATGACCCAAGCCGTACATTTTGTCAAATATCCTTTTTCGCTTAAAATCCCTATGGACTTCCGGTTTCATGAATTCCTTAATTATTCTTACCTGCGTCGACCCATACCAATTACCTGCACTTTATGTGAGCCGACAAATATGCATTTTTTTTGTAATAATTTTTTTTAAATAAAAATTTTACTTTATATGATATTACGCTTACGGGTTAAGTTCTTAGGTAAAATGGGTTTGACTATATATTAATAAGACGCCTTTGCCAAGACAGACGCACTAGAAAACTGTTTTGGATGGATTAGGAAACAAAATGGAAATTCTATTAACCCCACATCTAATCAATTTCAAATGGCTTTTAGAAAATTAATCATACAAGATTATTTTGATGAAACGAACACAGGTAATCAAAACTGCGAGGCTGATATGGAAGAAATTTTAAAGTTAAATGTAGGCCGTCGTTTTGATGAAGAAGAATCAGTCACCACGATGCAGAAGACCACCTTAAAACTACGCAGTTTGCAATAAATTGCGTACACGAATCAATTTTTGAAATTGTAAATGAAGTGATACTTTTTAAATTGGGTGGCGACATCTAGGAATAGTTTAGGCAACGACCACCGATGACGGCTTAAAATTCGGGTCAGAAAGAACAAAGGCGCCGACACGAGCTGTCTCTACTGATTGTTATCTCTACTGTGTTTTAAAATTATGTCAGTATGCAACCAACATTACACATGTCTTTATTTAATTGCATAATCTGAAAAATATCCGAAATCGATTAATGTTTTGTTTCAGAAACAATTAACACTTATTTTTGAATGCATCAAGGATTATGTCGAAATTTATGATAAATACCAACAAATTGTAGTACATGGTGTAAAGAAGAAGAATAAAAAAATTAAACAGTGGATATTGAATTTATTTATTAAAACAGTGTAAAGCTCAGAAGGACTTCAGGTTTCCATAGTAAATGTTATTATTTATATATCAAAAAATAATGTACTGCTATACTTGTGGTTCATAAATCCGCCTTGAATTTTTCTATAACATTTTACAATTTAACATGGAAACTACAAAACCGAATGCTCTGAAATCTTGCACAATTGCAGGTTTATAAATTTTATTAATCGAATCAACAAGCCATTCTCCTAAAATGTTGCTGATGGATTCACAAAATTTTGTTATGAAATAATTCACTAAAACATGCACACATCTTTTTATTATAGCTTACAGGAGCTATGATAAAAAAAAATCGCAGAATCAAATTTTATCCTTTTTCGAACAAGCTGAATTTGAACTGTACTTCATGGGAGAATTTGTATTTCTATTAAAATAAACTTTTATTTTACAAAGACACCTGATAATCAAAATAATATTTGTTGGATTATCTATTTTTTTTTCTAGCTGAATATTGCAATACATGTTGCAATAAATATTGTCTGTATTTTCCATACAAAATTTCAAGCTTCTTTCAAACAGTTTGACTTTTCAAAATTGGAGGGTTTTATTCGATTAAATGAATGGTTTTTTGGAATTATTATATAGGAGTATAATTTAACATTATTAGTGCGTCTTATATATTTTATCAGTCTTAGTTGATAAAATAATCTTTGTACTTTATAATATGATTACTATTATCAAATGATATGAATCAAAAAAACAATGCGTTTAGAGACGACGTTCAATCAAGTAGCCTTTATCTTTGTCACAACTGACGAACCTAATAGATTACTAGTAACTACTGCGCCTCCAAAGCTAGTGAAGCTCGTTTTTATTAATTAATTATTTCTACGAAAAGCAATAAATTCAGTTGTAAGAAAATGAAGGCAAAAAAACGACGTAAGTATTTTTTTTATTTTAGTATCGTACGCCGTGATAAATTAAACAAAAACTGAAGAAAGTTTGTTGAGCCGGAAACTTTTTAGTAGAAGATTTTATCACCAAGTGTTTGTTCCACGGCCGTTTTGAAATATTTATTTGTGGTATCCATACTATTCAAGCGTAGGTCGTCTGGGAAGGTGTTATGTTATCATTGGGCTTATCTGACGAATGACCAGTTTCACATTTCTTCAAAAATTCATATAGATAGCTCGTAGAATCTGTCATCTGTCGCTTATTTTATTAAATACATAATCTCTCTTCGAAACTAGTTAACAGATTGTTGTGAAATTCTAGCTATACATTATGGTTAGCGCCTGAATGGTTAAACGCTAATTAAAATTTGTCTATTTATCACCACTAAAAATCTAATATCTTCATCTTGAAATTTTGATAAGCAAATCTTATTAAAATATAATCTTCTTGGTGTAGTTTCAGTAATACAAATATTCAGAAATTAAAATACATCCAAACGACTACACCTCTTGCTATGTTTCGACGCTAATTACATTCTTCTATTTGTTGCAGTACACAAACTTGTTTCTGCTATTAAGAAATCCAAGCAGCAGATGATACAAGACGGCGGCGATGTCGCTACCATCGTTACGATAATCTTGGTAGTTGCCTTGTGCTGCTTTTTAAGAGAATTATCATACTGATGCCAAAGACGGGCGAGGGAAAATGCCTCTGGTGGAACCCCCACACTTTAAAATCCCTCCCAGAGTTGATGGTAAAGCAGGGTATAATACTTTAATTTGAAATATAGAATAATAAAAATAAAGTTTCTCTAGTGTTTTATTTTATTCGTCAATTATCCTAGTATGTCTTTTGTTCTTCTTTGTAATAAGCTATTGACCTTGACAAAACGCAGTTTAAAATAATATTTTCACTGACATAAACATTTGTTGTAAAAGTGTGATTCAGGAACAAAATCGAATTTACGGAAAAGCAAAATCCCATTGATATATATTTTACGTATATTAAATGTCATACATAGGTCATTTGCTCGCACTTGTATTGTTCTTGGATTAAGTAGGACTCCCAAAATTGTGTTTTCGACGTCTCATAAGCCCTAGAGTACATACGATAGTACGAAACAAATGATTTTCCGTTTCCATCTGTGTGTCGTATGTGTCAATTTATATTAGAGATATAATCTCCTAAACTACTAAACTGGTTGTCGTCAATTTTTTTATGCATGTTAAGAATTTCATGAAATAGAATGGAATGAAATGGAATGATCTCCAAATTTTACAATGGTCAGTGTCATTTAAATTTTATAAAACAATGTATTCCTTCATTTGTGGTCTATGAATCCGTGTTGAGTTCTTACGATAAACATCCAAATTTTGGAATTAAAATTGTGTAACAAAATTTTACAATTTAACTTTGAAATTGCAAGCCTTTTAATGTTAAAAGAAGCATAGTAAATAGTTGATCAACAGAAATTGATCTTACAATTTTGACAAATAAATGTTATTTAAATTTTAAAAAGTAACATAGTAGTGACTAAGTAGTGAATTTTTATCTTAAACATCGACATTTTTTGAAAAAAAAATCAAAATTGTAGATATAAGTATAGTTTTTCGATATTTCAGTTTTGGGATTTTGCAGTTTATTTAATTTCTCGATTTTAATTTTTCGATTAATCAATTTCTCGATTCTTCAAATTTTTCATTTTTAAATATATTTGCGATTTTTTTAAGCTTTTTAATTTTTGACGTTTCTAAATTTTTGATTTTTCGATTTTTCAGTTTTTCACTTCTTCAGTTGTTTGATGTTTCAATTATTCGATTATTCAGGTTCTTGATTTTTCAATTTTTTCAATTTTCGATTGTTCGACTTGGATTTTTCGACCTTTTGATTTCTTGATTTTTCAATTTTACGATTTCTCAATTTTCCGATGTTTCAATTTTATGATTTTTCAAATTTTCGATTCTTCAGTTTTCCGGGGTTTTTGAATATTACGATTTTTGAATTTTTTTAAATAATAATAATTTCTCAATTTTTGGTTTTTCGACTCTTCGATTTATTGCTTTCTCCATTTTTAGATTTTTCAATTTTCACTTTTTCAGTTTTTCTAAATATTTTTCAAAGTTTTCATTTTTCTGGTTATTGATTGTTCAAATTTTTTAATTTTTTTTTCGATTTGTCGTCTTTTCGATTCCTCGATTTTTTAACTTCACGATTTCTCTATTTTTCGATATTTCAGTTTCAGGATTTTTCCATATTTCGGTTCATCAGTTTTCAATTTTTCGAATGCTCAGTTTTTCGACTTTTCAATTTTTCGAGATATCAATTTTTTTATTTTAAATTTATCAATTTTTCAATTTTTGACTTTTCGGTTTTTTAACTGTGAGCCATTTCGATTTTTCAATCTTAAGCTTTATCGATCTGTTGATGTTTCGTTTCTCGATGTTTCAGTTTTTTAATTATTTGATATTTCGATTTTTTTATTTCCCGATTTTTCGACAATCCGGCTTTTGTTTTTTCGATTTTCCAATTTTTCGATGTTCCCATTTTTCAGTTTTACGATTTCCCAGTTCGTTATTTCAGTTATTTATTTCAACTTTGGATTTTCCGATTTCTCGTTTTTTCGATTTTCCAATTTTTAATGTTTTGATTGCTCGATCTTTGATTTTTTGACTTTTCGATTTTAGTTTTTTTGATTTTCCGATTGTTCAGTTTTGTATTTTTCAATTTGTCCATGTTTCAGTTCAATTTTTCGATTTTTAAAATGTATTGAATTCTCAATTTTTCGTTTATTGATGTTTCAGTTTTTCAGTTTTTCGGTTTTTGAAAACCATTTTTTCCTATTAGTCCTACGTGAGTATTATTTACACCACTGGTTTTACGGGATTTGTTGAGCTGCACTTCAAGGGCGAGGGAAATTCTGTCGAAATAAACTTCGACTAATTTTTTTTATTGACAAATCTCACAAACGGTACACTCCAGTATTTTATTATTAAAATTATACTGCATATGTTAGAACTGACATACGTGCCCTTACTGAAAAAATATTGATCAGAATATTTTCAAATGAGAAAACTGAGTAGAGAAATATAAGCATAACCTTTATCAGTAGGTACAGTTATAATTTTGAAGCAATTGTTAATCCGTTCCAGGGGTGGCTTCTTCTATAAGTCTAGTGAGGCAATTCCTCAGAAATTAAGTTTGCGCTATATTATTATTTCTGGCCAATTAAATATTTTTTTTTATATTTTAATTAAAGATAAACGTGAAATATTTTGTTATTCTTTTTTAGGTAGGTGAGTATTCGCTGCAGACTCGAATCTAAACATATAACCTTCGACCTTTTTGTTTTTTTAGATTTACCGAAATTTTGATACGATTAGGTTAAACTTCTTGACAATATTATTTAAATAATGGAGCGGAAAATATCATTATAATACATTTTATATAATTTAATATTGAACACTTCTCTTTCCCCATATTGATAGTAGTTGTATTTCAAAGACGATGGAAGTTGACGAGGCTGATAAACTGTTCATCCATACAAAAATTAAGTAGTAAAAAAGTCTTTAATAACGAATATTATTTAGACAATTTTTTTAATAACTTGTTTTCTTCATATTTCTAAATTAATTGTATATGGTAAATCCGAGAAACGTTAACTGCAAAGTGGGATTTTTGGGCAAGACATGCTCGATAAAATGTGAAGATGTTTTAGGAGAAAAATATAACTACTGCGAAAACCATAAAATCTGGTATAATAATATCTACGAATGCCCTTGGGGTTATAGTGGTGACTCGTGTGACAAAGGTGGGTACAACTTTCTGTATACCAGATCTAACGACTTCGAAATAAACAGAGTTAACCAAAATTTGTGTCATACCTAACTGCACATTATAATGAAAAAAAAATCTGACCAACAAGTTGGATTTAAGTTATTGACAACCTGTAATGATGGCTATAGTGATGACTAAATTATGAAAACCGTTGAAGTAAGTTTTGACATATTTATGACTTATTTTTATAATCTTTCAGAATGTGAAAATGGACAATACGGATTTAGTTGCAAACAAAATTGTCCAAATGATTGTTCAAAGTCATGCGATAAGAAATCAGGACAATGCATCCAAGGTCAAATATTACGTAAGTAAACTAAAACATATTAATTTTGTGTAGAAGCGCTAGGAGTTTCCGATGAGCACTCAAAATTAATGTTCACTATTTGGCGGACTCTACTTTACCTCGGTTCCTCCTATTTCGATCGCTTTTTTTACATTTTATGTGTTAGCACGCTGATCTATTTATCTATATTTTTCAGCAAACATCCCAAAAAATCCTGTATTCATTTTAGTTGTTTCTAGTGTTGTCGTAGTTATTATCGGTGTCATAATTTGTATGATCAAGAAGAAGTAGACAAAAAAATGAATTATTTATATTGAATAGAGACCTTTTATATAAATTTGTATATTGCATTATGCAAAGATATCTAATATGTATGGGTATGTTTATATGCATTAATAAATTAGGTAAATATGACATTAAAAGATTACAAAATATATGGCTTACTTCTTTTATTTTTAAAATTACATTGTGTTAAATTTTCAGAAACTTGGCCCTGAACTCGTTAAGCTTAATAATGCAGAACCTATTTAATCGATGCAGAACCCAACCCTATTATGTACTATGGTAGTAAATAGGGTTGTGGTGAAAGTCATCAGCATCACTAAAGCTCGGAATTATACGCAGAAAAAAAAACATGTAACTATGCAGAGAAATTTGGCATTATATGCAAAAAACTGCTAAAATATGCAAGAAATATATGCAAAATATGCAAGAAAAAATAATTTTATTTTCAAACGTCATATAACTGACACTTATATGACGTTCTTATCGGGGTTTAAGTGTCATTTCTATGACACTGTGTTTGAGCGGCGCATAAGTACTACTTATACTCCGCCGGCGTATAAATAAAACATTTTTATACTCCGCCAGAGTATAAATATGTGAGAATCATAGTGGTTGTTAACCATAGTAACCATGGTAAGTGAAATCAAGGCAATTCCTTAATGAAGCAAGAAGATAGGAAATAATCATTTCAAAAGAAGATTAATCGTTTGAAAATAAAATATTGTATTTCATTCGAAGTTTAAGTGACTTCATGTGACGCGTATGGACTTAATTCACCTAGCTATCGCTCGGTGTTATCGTTCATACTTGACACATAAAGTATCACTTAAACTCCTAATGAAATAAATAACTATTATTAATTTTTATCAGTTAAATTAATTGTTGTTAATCTAGTAAGTATGAGTTGTCTAAATTGTGGTCACAATGACGCTTTTATTCATCATATTTTTGCTAGTAAACATACAGATTATGAATACAGAAAGAGAAATGGTAAGCAATTTATTATTAAATATGATAGCTTATAAGATACGATAAACATGCTTTGTCTGCTGTTAAGTTAAATAAAACGATATATATATATATATATATACCTAACAGAATCATTTCAACAGTATTTGTTATCAATTACACCAGAAAAAAAAATTCTGCAAATAACAAGCAAAACATACATGTATTGCATATCCGAAGAAAATGTTGATGCTGCTGTGTTCACCTTGCCACCACTGAATAAATTAGACGACTCAACAAGTTTAATGAATAAGAGGTTTTGGAAGAATGATGATTGGGTAATAAAGAGGTCAAGTGATTCAACAAGAACGGCTGTTTTAGACAGAAGATGGGAAGGTATGTAATTTTAGGTAATTAGAGAGACAATTGGTGCAGATTTTGTTCTCTGATAGCCTGTTTTATCCCCTTGTCTAAACTTAAAATTCAACTTAATACCCCGCTTTAAACTTCACCAGTTACAAACTCAGGCATAAAAACACATTGGAAGCGACAATACACCGTACTTATTTACAAATTCAGGTGTTTATTTTTTCAGATTTTAACATCACAAGAACAAACTATTTACGTTTCGATAAATCGACAACCTCTGTATCTTTTTCCGTGTATGGAACAAACGCGATAGAATTTTTCGCAGACGATGGCGAAACACTTGATTATTTTAGGCAACCGGTAAATAATACAGAAACTTGGAACACATTTACCATCTTTCAAAAAGATGGATATGTTCATTATTTTGGAAATAGTGAACGCAACTTCCGCACATACTGGTTGAGACCTTGGCAGTTTGTTGTAAGGACTCAAGCAGAAGCTTATTTCAAAATACATGACTGTAAGTAATTTGTAATTTATACACATAATTTTCATACATAAATTTGTAACTTTGTATTTGGTATAAACTAAATATTTGTTTCTGCTTATAGATGAATATAGAGAAGCTACAGTTCACAATAATGAAGAAAATTCCACAACACTGATAATTCCGAGCTCCAAAATATCATTGTTGATTGTTTACGTTTATTTGTGCAAATCATGTGTACTAGAAGTTTCACATAACGGAGAAAAAATATTAAATATGTCTTCAAATGTCAAAAAACATGATGCCTCATTAGAAAAATGGCAGAGCTACAAAATTATGATCAATTCCTCAGTATCAAACGAAATAACGTTTGTCAGAAGACAGAAAGAATCAACTGAAGAAGGCTATTGGAGATTGGATGTAAGAGATCGTAATTATATGTATGACGCTGGTAAGAAATAATCCTGCGAATGTACCTATTGCAAATCGACAACATTTATATTTATTCGAAATTTTTAGTTCACGGCCTTTTTGACGTAGGGTTAGCCATGAAAATCTAGTAGGTTTTTTGGCAGTGGGTAGAGAATGATCAAAATTCTCTAAATTTTTTTAATAGATTATGTTGTTTTAAAGTTAACTTAGGGAATGTGTCAGTAAACGTCACTTCCTTTATGACCCACTGACTTAAGACCTTTGTACAATATTGTAAAATGTAAGACGATAACCAAAATTTGGCTAACCAAAATCATCACCATGACTTCATCTTAAAAATTCACAACAGTAAATTTATTTTTATTTTATAAAGTAAAATACTCCTGCACTTGTGATGTAAAATCCGTATTTTATTTTCTTTATTTTTTTAATGTTCCTTTTGGTTTTACAATTTTTCGTTTATTCAATTCTCGAAATTTTTAATCTCTGATTTTTCAATTCCTCGATTTACGAATTTTTAAATTTTTCGGTATTGCAATTTTTGGATTCATCAATTATCCGTTTTTCCGATTTTTTTAATTGCAAACTCGAGAAATTCAAATCGAAAAATAGCAAAATCTAAAATCTGAAAAATTCAAAAGTTGGAAAGTTGAAAAACGAAAAATTTAAACTTCATAACTCGAAAAATTGCAAATCGAAAAACAGAAAAATTGAAGAATTGAAAAACTCAAATCAAAAGAGTGTTAGATACGCCACTGGTTTTTACTTTGTAGAGGTTATCAGAAAACATAAATTCCAAAAATTTTTTATAATTTTTCAAAGAACCGAAATATATTGGGCCGCACTTCAGGGGCCAGGAAACTTCCGTCAAAATAACCTTCGAACATTTTTCTTTATCTTAAACTGTGACTCTTCTAATTTGTAATTTTTTATTAAATCAAAAATAGTTCACCACATTTTTTTTTATTGATAATATCTCAAGAACGGTACACTCCAGTGTTTTACTATTAGTATTATACTGCACATCTCTGAATTGGCATACGTGTTGAAATAATGTTGGTCGCAATATTTTCAAATAGGAAAACAATAAGTGCACTCCGGACCAAATATAAACAAACGTGTTTTCTTTCGTTAAATAATGCTTTCGAATCATAGACAGTGGCGTAGTGTAGCTGATTAAAATATGATACGTTAATAAGTTCAGTAAAACATGGTCTACAAGAATTCTAAAAAAATATATAAAAAAGTTTTGTCGGAAGCAAAAACAGAAAAAAATATTTTGGTTGTCAAAACATATTTATAGGATATCTACACAGATATTTCACTACTTATTTTTTAAACCACAGAAAATATATTGGTGGTCCTATCAATTTTTAAACTCACTCTTACGAAATTCCAAGAAATTTTTAACATTGTCGGGATTATTATGTCAACAGACAGTTTGTCCAACGTAAAGAGAAAATATCAATGCCTACTTTACATCGAAAAGACCGTGAATGGATAGTAGGTATATGTGACAAAATTAAGAATCTTTCCTTTTATAAATAATGTACCATTTAGTTGTTTTTGCACTTTCCTGATACATGCAGTAAGAATCAGGAAAAAGGACTAATAACATTAGTAAATTAACATTTAACTTATGTAAAAATTTGAATTAAACAATTTCAAATTTAAACAGCGGTATTCAAACTGGAATCTGCGGATGAAATCCCTTTATGTAAATATTTACAAGCCCCGGAAGAACCCCCAATTTGTGAAAAAGAAAATATGGTAAATCCGATAAACGTTAACTGCAAAGTGGGATTTTTGGGCAAGACATGCTCGATAAAATGTGAAGATGTTTTAGGAGAAAAATATAACTACTGCGAAAACCATAAAATCTGGTATAATAACATCTACGAATGCCCTTGGGGTTATAGTGGTGACTCGTGTGACAAAGGTGGGTACAACTTTCTGTATACCAGATCTAACGACTTCGAAATAAACAGAGTTAACCAAAATTTGTGTCATATCTAACTGCACATTATAATGAAAAAAAAATCTGACCAACAAGTTGGATTTAAGTTATTGACAACCTGTAATGATGGCTATAGTGATGACTAAATTATGAAAATCGTTGACGTAAGTTTTGGCATTTTTATAACTTATTTTCATAGTCTTTTAGAATGTGAAAATGGAGAATACGGATTTAGTTGCAAACAAAATTGTCCAAATAATTGTCCAAAGTCATGCGATAAGAAATCAGGAGAATGTACGGAAAGTGACAAATCACGTAAGTAAACTAAGTACAGTAATTTTGTGTAAAAGCATTAAGAGTTTCCAATGAACACTCAAAATCAATGTTCACTTTTTGGCGGACTCTACTTTACCTCGATTCTTCTTATTTCGATCGATTTTTTTATTTTTTCAGGAAACATCCAATTAAATCCTGTATTAACTTTGGTTGAACATTTTATTCTTTTGGTGATTATTGCCAGTGTCATAATTATTACGACGATCTGCTGCATCAGAAGAAAAAAAAATAATATTCGTATTGTATAGAGACCTTTTGTATAAATTTATATTATTACGTTGGGCGGCCGAATAAAATTGGCGTCAATTAAACTCAACAATTCATTTCTTAATAACTCGTATTTACACGACTAACTATTGCAGCGATTATGTACAAAAATTATTCCAACGAATTTCACTGGACGCTCTTGACTCCACTACCTGAATCATCCGTTCCCGACGGTCGCCTCTATTTAAACCACGGAGGTAGAAGAGACCGGAGGGAGCGTACCGTATGCTAGCAATGTAACGATTCTGGCATCGTTCAAGACCCGGTCAGACACCGGTTATGATCTTATTTGAACAAGGCGCCAATATTTGTCAGCCCGACGCAAACGCGCTCCTACCAGAGATATGTAAAAGACTAGATACAGATATTTAATGTTCTCGTGGACATACGTTTAGGGCCAAAATGTCACTGTACGTTTATATCTCCCTCTTTTTCTCTAGCACGTATAATGGTAACCCGATATCTGAAGGTCTCGCTCTGTACGGCGCAACCAATCAGAGTTGGCGCAACGTTTGTCGTTGATGCCGTTCTTGTGTTTGTGCCGGTCCCTGTCAGACCACTCAGACTGTGGGTGGTTATGATTATTTATAATTGCCGCCATCAGAACGGGCCAATAACAAGACAACCACCTTTTAGAGAGTGATCGATGTAGCCTACAGTTGGCAATCCATAGTACTGGTGTTATTATTATTATTATTATTATTATTATTATTAGTTTATTACGGAATAACTCCAATTACAAAAAGTAAGAAAATTAAACTTACAAATACATAAGGTATATGATTAACTTAATTAATTATCTTTATAACAATGATCATACAATAAACACAAAAAGAAACAATTTTAAATTATCCGAATTATACAAGATTATTTATCATTCTCTTAAATACAACAAGGTTTGAGTTAAAAATATCAAATTTTACAAAATTAGATAGTTCGTTTGCTTGTTTCATCATTCTTCGCAATGGGTGGTTAGTTGACATATTAGTAGATGCTTTGTTAATTCTGAAAATTTTACAAGATCTAGTAGTTCTGCAGTTTTTATTTGGAACCCTAAACATTAGTTTGGCTAATAAGTCATTACTATCTATATGGTTGTTAATAATGGCGTGAAGAACACATAAATCCGTTATATCTCTACGTATCTCCAAGGATTTAATATTGAGGAAGCTCATGACCCATTCATATTCACCTTGTTGATGTAGATGATGTTCTTTAAATTCAATAGACCTCAAAAACTTTTTTTGAACACGCTCTAACAATGAAATATGAGTGTCGCATGTTGGATGCCAAACTGAAGAAGCATATTCCAGAACAGAACGCACGAGAGAGCAATATAGCACTTTAAGTGCATGAGAGCTCATATCCTTGCAATGGCGCCAAATCAATCCCCACATCTGCAGAGCCTTGTTAAATATGTATCGATAATGACTTTTGAAAGAGAGTTTATTATCAAAAAGTATGCCGAGATCTCTAATTTCACTAACAGGCTTGAGCAAACTTTTCCCAATATAATAATCATAATCGATCATATTTTTTTTGTTAGAAAATGTAATTTTATGACATTTATTTAAATTCAGTTTTAAAAAATTTGTTTCACACCATTCATATATATTATTTAAATCCTTTTGTAATTCCTGACAATCAGTTATGGATGAAACTTGTTTATATATCTTTAGATCATCTGCATAGAATAGAAATTTTGAAGATTTAATACAATAACTCAAGTCATTTATAAAAAGAAGAAATAAAATTGGACCACAATGTGAGCCCTGGGGTACTCCAGATGTAACTTCAAAATAATCAGAAATGTGGTTGCCAATTTTAACCTGTTGCCACCTATTAGTAAGAAACGATTTAACCCATTTTATGGAATATTCTCTAAAACCAAGTCTATTAAGCTTTGAAATTAATACATTGTGATCCACTCGATCAAATGCTTTTGCGAAATCTGTATAAACAGCGTCCACTTGACATTTATTCGCAAATGATTCATTGAGAAACGAATAATATTCCAAAAGGTTGGATAATGTTGACTTATTTTTACAAAAACCATGCTGTTGATTAGTAAGTAATTTTGAAACTGCCCACTGTAACTGCTTAGCTATGATGGAATCGAAAATTTTAGGGATAACCGATTGATTGGAAACACCTCTATAGTTGTCAACTTTGTTCCTTTGACCAGATTTAAAAATAGGTTTAACATAACTCAGTTTCCAAACATCAGGAAATACACCAGTATCCAAGGACTTGCTGAATAACATAAATAGTGGTATTGATAAAGTACATATACACTTTTTTAAGAATACATTGCTTAAACCGTCTGGTCCAGCATTTGTAGAGTCATTCAACGAAGAAATAGTGTTAAATATATCCTTAATCGTTATTATAAAACCCGTATCAATAACTTCATCTTTATTATTATTATTATTAGTTTATTACGGAATAACTCCAATTACAAAAAGTAAGAAAATTAAACTTACAAATACATAAGGTATATGATTAACTTAATTAATTATCTTTATAACAATGATCATACAATAAACACAAAAAGAAACAATTTTAAATTATCCGAATTATACAAGATTATTTATCATTCTCTTAAATACAACAAGGTTTGAGTTAAAAATATCAAATTTTACAAAATTAGATAGTTCGTTTGCTTGTTTCATCATTCTTCGCAATGGGTGGTTAGTTGACATATTAGTAGATGCTTTGTTAATTCTGAAAATTTTACAAGATCTAGTAGTTCTGCAGTTTTTATTTGGAACCCTAAACATTAGTTTGGCTAATAAGTCATTACTATCTATATGGTTGTTAATAATGGCGTGAAGAACACATAAATCCGTTATATCTCTACGTATCTCCAAGGATTTAATATTGAGGAAGCTCATGACCCATTCATATTCACCTTGTTGATGTAGATGATGTTCTTTAAATTCAATAGACCTCAAAAACTTTTTTTGAACACGCTCTAACAATGAAATATGAGTGTCGCATGTTGGATGCCAAACTGAAGAAGCATATTCCAGAACAGAACGCACGAGAGAGCAATATAGCACTTTAAGTGCATGAGAGCTCATATCCTTGCAATGGCGCCAAATCAATCCCCACATCTGCAGAGCCTTGTTAAATATGTATCGATAATGACTTTTGAAAGAGAGTTTATTATCAAAAAGTATGCCGAGATCTCTAATTTCACTAACAGGCTTGAGCAAACTTTTCCCAATATAATAATCATAATCGATCATATTTTTTTTGTTAGAAAATGTAATTTTATGACATTTATTTAAATTCAGTTTTAAAAAATTTGTTTCACACCATTCATATATATTATTTAAATCCTTTTGTAATTCCTGACAATCAGTTATGGATGAAACTTGTTTATATATCTTTAGATCATCTGCATAGAATAGAAATTTTGAAGATTTAATACAATAACTCAAGTCATTTATAAAAAGAAGAAATAAAATTGGACCACAATGTGAGCCCTGGGGTACTCCAGATGTAACTTCAAAATAATCAGAAATGTGGTTGCCAATTTTAACCTGTTGCCACCTATTAGTAAGAAACGATTTAACCCATTTTATGGAATATTCTCTAAAACCAAGTCTATTAAGCTTTGAAATTAATACATTGTGATCCACTCGATCAAATGCTTTTGCGAAATCTGTATAAACAGCGTCCACTTGACATTTATTCGCAAATGATTCATTGAGAAACGAATAATATTCCAAAAGGTTGGATAATGTTGACTTATTTTTACAAAAACCATGCTGTTGATTAGTAAGTAATTTTGAAACTGCCCACTGTAACTGCTTAGCTATGATGGAATCGAAAATTTTAGGGATAACCGATTGATTGGAAACACCTCTATAGTTGTCAACTTTGTTCCTTTGACCAGATTTAAAAATAGGTTTAACATAACTCAGTTTCCAAACATCAGGAAATACACCAGTATCCAAGGACTTGCTGAATAACATAAATAGTGGTATTGATAAAGTACATATACACTTTTTTAAGAATACATTGCTTAAACCGTCTGGTCCAGCATTTGTAGAGTCATTCAACGAAGAAATAGTGTTAAATATATCCTTAATCGTTATTATAAAACCCGTATCAATAACTTCATCTTTAAATTGACTATCAATTATCTTAGAAGAATCATTAACCATATAGACCGATGAGAAAAATTCTGCGAACAAATTGGCAACTTCTTTACCACCATTCACCACTCTATTTAAATAAGACATTTCTTCTGGAATATTGTTAGGGACTTTCCTTTCTCGAATAAATTTCCAAAAGACATTAGGATTGTTAATAATGGAAACGCTGACAGTATCCACATACGATCTATAAAGACTTTTCGATAGTAGTTTACATTTTGATCTCAAACTCTTAAAATAAACGTAATCTTGAAGTTCATTCGATTGTTTAAATATAGCGTGTGCTTTCCTTTTTTCGTAGCACAGTGTTTTCAGTTCAGAACTGAACCATTGAGGGTATTTGGAAGATTTTATTTTTATAACCTTTTTTGGAATATAAACTTCTAAACCTTCATATATAATATCATAAAATATCGCTATCATTTCATCAAGCTCATAACCTTCAAAGCATGTATTCCAACACACAGAAGCTAAATAATCATTAAATAGAAAGTAATTACCATTTGCAAAGTCGAATACAGTGTATTCTATTTCAAGAGATGGATTTGAAGCGGTGCAGATCGACCACGAATAAGGAATATGATGTATACTATCCCCTACTAGTGGATCAATTGCAGGGTAAATTTTCATTTCAGTTACACTTGTAAAGATTAGATCGAGAAAAGTATTTCGATTATTCGGAATTAGATTAACTTGAGTTAAATTTAAAAATGAATAAGTACTAAGTACAACATCGTAGCAGTCTTGATTAAGAACAGTATGCCCATGTCCTTCAACACCGTTTTGGGTCCATTTAATATCAGGTAAATTAAAGTCACCTGTAACTATGAATTTATGATCGGGAAATTTTTCTGACACTATTTCCATATCATTACAATGTGATTCA